GAAATGAATATACAAATAAGATGACCAGATATAAATATATTAAAAAGAACATCTGTTAACAAGAACAAAAATTAAATTAAAATATTAAATAGAAAATGTCAAATGTAAATTTTTTTTAAAAAGAGAAATCGGGTCGGGCACCGGGCTGGGCATGGAAAGTCTTGCATAAATTTTATTAAGGCCGGGTAATTAGATAAAACAAAAATTCGAGCTTGGCCTGACTCGACAATTTATATATATATCAGGCAGAGTATCTCAAATCTCTGAGTTTTCTTAAATTTATAAATGGCCAGTACGGGAATTAAAATTTTGATTTTAAACTGAAACTAATATTTTAATTTACTATTTGAAAATAAATTATATTATGTTAATTTTTTTTGTATTTTAAGAGCTTTCTAACTAAAATAATCAATAAATCATATAGTATAAAATTAAACAAGTTATTTAATGAATAACCATAGAGGAGAGATATAAACGCCTTAATTGGCATTGGGGAAAAGTTAGATACAGATATTAAAAATGTGCAGGGAAAATTCGTACAAAAAAAATTCGGGTTGTAGCGCACCTTTAATAAAATTTTAACGGGCCGTGCCGGAACTAATTTTTTGTAAATTTTATTTTTTAATGGCCTAGGGTGGGCCACTGGTGCAAAAATTTTTGCCGGGCGAGGTTTTGCGGACCTCTAATTTCTATATCCGAAAACCGGGCAAAACTGGTTTAATGTTTATTTTTTATACATGTTTAAACATTTTTAAACTGAGGAAATTTATACCGTAGTAGACCTGTAAATTTTTTTAACATAAGAGTTCCTAAGTCCTCGGTAGCTCACGAGGAAAGCATAGGCAGGGTAGCTTAATTTTACTAATTTTAAAAGAAAATTAAAAATTTTAAAATTGAATCGATTAATCAAACTATTTTTTTAATTATTAGTTAATTTATATGGTCTAAAAATAAATGTTTCAAAATGAAAATACTCACGATCGCAATAAAATAAATTATAGACCTTTTTGACACGAATTAAATATTTTCTTCCTCTAAGAAGATTGGCATAATTTTTTAAATAAATGATCCATCATATGTGTAAATTTACTAAGAAATAATTCATTTTTTAAAAAATTATCTCCATTCAAAATGAATAGTATTTTAAAATTCAGCGGCGTCGCCTGGGTTGGGGCAAAAGGCATGCTCGGAGAGTCTAAATTAAATGTTTATCAAGCTAAATATTTGTAAAAATCAACAGCCAGGTCTTTGCCTGGCAGGGAGCGAACCAACTGGCAGGGTTTTCCCGTGGACCGCGGTTTCGGATCGATCTTTTTTCATTAATATTTAAATTTGCTTTACTATTCAATTCATATAATTTTTTACCAAATATTTATGTATATTTTTTTTATAATACTTTTCTAGAGTATAGTGGAGATTTAGTTTTTGTGATTGTTTATCATTTCTAGTTTATTTTTATCTTCCAGACTGAAAAGTTTATCAATAAATTTACTTTTGGACTCGGAAATATTTTCGGCCTGTGCAAATCTTTATTTTATTTATTAAAATTTAAAAACTTATTTTTTATCATCTAGTAACACCCATGGGCGTATCCAGAATTTTCGTAGGGCGGGGGGAGGGCACACCCTTAGGTGGAATTTTCCGCCATAAATTTTAGTTGTGGTCTTTAGTAGTGGTGTTAAACAGTTCGATTTGAGCCGATTTTTAAAAATTTACGGCTAAAATAATGAGTTAGCAGTTTTTAAAAAATCGCGAAAATCGAGCTGTTTAACAACACTAGTTTTTAAGTTCACTTATTGTAGACCTTTTGCTATATTATATTTTTCTACAAATAATCTTGGTTTTCCTCTTTTTTTATAATAATGCTTTTTTCTAAAATTTTCAATTATAGTCGTTATTAAAAATGATTATTTTTTTGAAATTATTGTTTATATTTAGATAAATTAAGGGGAGGAAGGGGGGTGGGGTGTTATTAGTTTAAAATAATATTTATAAAAATAGGCAAATTTCCTAATTGGAAATTTCCCATTTCCCACTTTCTATCTCTTGGTTACACTTCTGGCAATGCCACTGATAAAAATATGTCTACTTTATTCCCTGTTATGTTATATATTAATCATTATAGTAATATTTTTTAATTTGCATATTAGTGTATTTTTCTTTAATAATAATAAAAATGGGATTTATTTTTAACACTTTTTAAAATCAATAATTTTTTTAAATAAATTTGCAAAAATAAATTTATTCAAATATATTTGCAAAAATAAATTTATTCTAAATCTCTTAGCATTTAATTCTTCCCATTTTAAAGTTCACTCCAATTCTTATAAAACAAATTTTTTTTTGGTGATACTTAGAAAATAATATTTATGTTTTAAATATATATAAATGGTTGTATAATATCAGTGTAACCCAGGGGTTTTCTAGCAGCATAAAAAATTTTATCCCCCCCCCCCCTTCCAACCCTTTCCTACCAAATCCAAATTGCCAAAAAAAGAAATCCAAAACTACTCTACCCTCTTCCTATTTCATTCGAATTACAATGGTGTGGTCATATACATGCTCTCTCCAATTTCAATCACAATCTTACGTCACCCCCCCCCCCCCCCCACCACGGCCTCTCTAAGGGGAAGTCTCTTATTATATTTTTAAAATTTTTATTAAGTTTAAATGAGGCATGGTTGGTTATCAGCACACCTAAATATAATTTGAGAATGTCAAGTAAATTTTTTGGAACTCATTTTAGCAAGCCTAAGGGGGAATTTAAGTAAACACGATGCGGCGCGATTTAGACGATGAATCGAATTTATAAAATCTTTTAATGACCCCATTTTTTCCTTATAAATATTATAATATAATATCTTTAATTTCAAGATTATTTTCATATATTCTAGCTAAAAGCTAGCGACGCAGCTGACTAAAATTAAAAGTTTATCAATCGTTTCTACTCTAAATTTTTTTTTTTACCTATCGACCATAATTTTGTAAATAATTAAGAAAAAAATATTTTTTTAATAAATTGCAAACATTTTGGTCAGTTAATAATTTGGTAAAATATATTTAATTACATTTTTAATTGAGTAAAAATTTTAAATTTTCTAAAAGTGCTTAAATCTTGATTTAATATTTGCGTATCATTTAGAAGATTTGTAGAACAGGAATGCATAGATATCTTTCTGACCATTACTAACACATGGTTTTGGTGGCTGTTAAAACCGATATAAAAATATAATTAATATATACATTTTTTTTAAATTTATAACTACATGAAATTCCTAAAAGTAAAACTAAATTGAAAGTAAAAAAAGATAGAAAAAAAAATTAACAGTACCCTCTTTTTTTCTTACTAGTTTAGAAATTCATATACATTTTTATAAATTCATAGGTTAATTCTGGTTAAAAACTTTTTTAAAAAATTTAAGAAGGTTAATTATCTTTTTTGAGTGTCGACTACTTGTATCAAAGTTAAAAGTATCAACTGATACAGTGACTATCAGTTCGCCATCTATGATATAATATGAAAATCGTATTTTATTTTAAAGATGAATGCCACCAGTCTCTTGTTTTAAAGTAAAATTTAATAAAATGTACTATGCTCCTACCTTGTTAAAAAAAACCTTGTGAATATTAATTGGTATATAATATTATATTAAAATTAATTCAAGATATATTACATAAAATTTGGAAAAAATAATATATAAGCTAATTAAATCAAGTTATAAATATAATCTATGTTAATCTTAATTGACTATCGCTAATAATAATAAAATTTATTTCATTAAAATTAATGTAATATTTTTTTTATTTTATTTTTATAAAAGAAAAATCTTGAATTTAAAAAAAAATTGAAATAATGACTGCAATTATTTTTTATGGATTGGATAGTAGTGAATTTTGGCATTTGATTGGAGTTTGTTTTATAATTTTTTAAACACTAAATTATTAAGTGTTGATATAATTATAAAAAAATCTCATTAACAAGGATTTAACGTATATCTTTTAAAATCCTTCTAGATTATATTTTATTTGAACTCCCTTATCTTAAAACCCTATATGAACATCTTTTCTTGCAGGTCCAACTCGGGAAATATTTTGTCTAACCTATCTGAAGAAAAAAATAAAAATGTTTATGCTCTGATCCGAAATTTTTATTTTTAAGAATACGATTTACTTATTTTTTATACAAATGAGGAAAATTAAAGAGCATTGGAAGAGTAGAAAATTTGATTTTTTTTTACTGGAAAAGAAAATTAAATGTTTTAGGAAAAGAAAATAATTTATATTTTTGTAGAAGTCCTGAAACCCACCCAATGGCATTAATACTAACATAGAATGATGATTCATTTATTATAAGTGTACATACAGTGAGGTCAGCTAAAGTCAATGCAATTAGCTTTATCAGATATCATTGAATTCCAAATAAATGTCTTTCAATGGCAGACTATAATATATTTACACTTTTTAATGCATTTTAATGAATAAATCGTTAATCTGTGTTTGTATTAATGTCAACGATCCCACCAGAATAAAAATTTCTTAATAAATGCCAGATCCAAGTAAGATTGGGCAGGTCTATTTAGGGTTTATATCAAATAATAGAAAACTCATTAATTTAACTTCTCCCCTCCAATTTAACCATCAATAAAATTATAAACGAATTTCTAAAATCCATTTCTAAATGAAATATTTTATTGAGTTCGGTTTTAGCTTGGAATGGTAAACTATTGATATGAAGAAATTATATATCCATCCTACATTCTTTTCTATTTTGTATCACTTGATTAACTAGAGAATTGAAGAGGAGGGGATTTGTTAGATAATTGGAATAAGGGGTCCTTGGACGTCCCCTGCATTTAAAACCATGTTGGGTATCGTAGAAGATCAGGTCATCATGAAATTAGCTCGAGTTTGGTGCCCGAAGATAGGAATTGTTGGACATTGTGTAGAATTCTGAATATAATTGAATTAAAACTTATATAAATATTTAATATTTTTAAAAGAACAATGATGGATATAACAGGTTATTGGTTTATTATCTGAAGAACATAGACAAGCTTGATAAGCATAGAAGGAATTGATGTTTGAAAAAGACCAGAGAGGCTTCGAATTATTTTATTCTTAATTCAAATTGTTTTTAAATTATGCATAAACTTTTAAAAATATATATATCTTATTTCCTATAAAAATCTCTATATAATAATATTTACATTCGTTATTTATCTTACAACGTTATCTACTATATGTTTAATAAATCGTGTAAAAAAATCGTATCTGTTTATAATCAAAAAAATTGTAAAGATTACAAATTTCGGTTTGTGCAATTTGAATATATATTCTATAATAAATGTTGTATATCTAAAGATTCCTGTTATCTTTAAGTTGAAAAAATAAAATTGATAATTATTTTAAAAAATATTACAAAAATACTAATCTATATTTGATGAAATGGAGCACTGAAAGAAATTCCGTAGTTATCTTAAGTCTTACTATTGCCTTATTTTTAAGATAGAATACGTTTCAAGGATGCTATAAGTTGTACGAAAAAACCTTTCATAAGCATTTTTGTCTAGTTTTTTAGTAATAAAATTGGACAAATTTTTATAGAATATTGTATTTAAACGATCAACTTTCCGTAAGCCTAATGTCATCTAGGCCATTTTATAAGAAAGTCGATTATGATTTTTGTTGAGTATAAAAGGTGAATTATCTAGATGCGATTCTCATTAATGATAATTTGTTTTATAGTTTTATATTAATAGTAAAATAATGAAACAGCACGCTATGAATTTTCAATTGGGATAGCCAACTGCTTGTTTGGGATGGCTAATATTTATTTGAATTAAAACAAAAAGTTAAATAGGTAGAAATAATTTTATTATTTTTATTGAAAATTTGTTAATGCAACTAATTATGAACATTCCATTCAAATATTATAATTTAATATGACAATTTTTCTTTTTAAATTTTAACTTAAGTTTGGGTTATATTTTTTCTTAAACCTATTGGCACTAAATATTTTATTTTTGTTCATCTTTCATTGATTCTATAGTGCGCGATAAAACACCCTTGAATGTAGAGAATGAAGCCCCACAAGAAGCTGTTTATTATCCCAAATAAGCGCTTCTGAATAGCATTTGCTATTTGATTATTTAGGCATTTAATTTCATACTAATACTTTCAACATGTGATTTGACCGATTTCCCACTCTAACCGACCACTTTTTAAAAATTTGAAGGGCCCACATTTATGGCGTTATCCATTGAAAAATCTTTGTTTTTGTTTTATATCGTTCACTACGTGTATAAAAAATATTAATATTGAGATTTAACCAATTACCGATTCATAACTTTGAATCGATTTATATAATATTTTTTTAAGAAGTAAATTCTAAAGATACAATTTTAAGGAGTGGTTGTTCAGACAGTAAGTCCTGATGCATAGACATTATTACCCTTGCCATAATGCCAAAAATGATGGCCATTAGAATTTTCAATGAATAGCGAGCAATGTGGGCCCTTCAGATTTTTAGTAAGCTGTAGTTTAAGAGTCACGGTCAAACCACAATTTTTAAATATATTTTGAGATGATTTACACGTAATGATTGGCATTGAAAATAGGAACGAAATATTTTTGATAATAGCGCCAGCAATGTATGCCTTACAAGGTTGCGGTTATTTTTAGATTCTAAGCTAAGTCAGAGGTTAAATGAGAGAACCCTACTTTTTTCAATTTTTATGCTTCCCGCATGTATCTGCACTAACTTATAAATAAAGATGCTAAAAATTATTCGGGTTCCCTAATATATTTTAATATTTATGCTTTTAACGCCCCCTTATTTACATATATTTATTAAATTTCAAAGTAGAAAATTAAACTTTGTAACATAATATGTATGGTATAACATACTTTCCTTTAATATAAAATAAAAATAGATTTGTATATTAGTAATTAATCTAGTTTTTATTAATAAAAATTGATTAAGAAGTGTAAAAACATGTTTCTGAAGATTATTTAAAAAAAAAATTATATAATATAATTTTAATTAATTCCTTTTTAGGCAATATTTATAAGATACGTAAAAACGCCTAAAAAAATGTGCAATTGAATTAAAAAAATTATAAGAATATTTTTATACCAATTATCAACCTGCAATTTGTGATTGAAGCGATGTTACAAGGCATCCTTATACTAATTTTATTTTAAGTAGAGTCTGAACCCCACCATTTCTACCAGACGACATTTGTGAGATCATACGCTTGTCTTATTATAGTATGATTCAATTTTTAATCATCAAGTCGTTTTAAAAAATAATTTATAATACTTTCAAAACAATTTTTCCACATACCGAATAAATAAACTAGAATTTTTACATCGTGGTGCATCCTTTGTCTCGTTAGCCTTAAGAAAATCCCGCTTTGTTATAATTTGCTTGAGGTAGATTCTAACATCATTTTAGCCATAATAGATGTTATTTCATTTTGAATTTGAGGTGATGTGTATTGTAGAGATCTGCAAAAGTAGGCCCGGCCCGAACCCGGCCCGGCCCGAACGGGCTTCGGGCCGGGTTTGGGCCTACTTTAAAAAAAAATTAGGGTTCGGGTTGGGTCGGGCCTAATATTTTTTAAAAAAATTCGGGCCGGGTCGGGCCGGGCCTTAAAATATTTTTAATATTGGCACTAATATTTTTTGTAAAATAAAAATATTTAATTTTATTTGAAGAAGCTAGACGCCATATGATGGCATGTATCTTTTATTCTTGGTATAAATATATAATTAAACTTTTTTTTAAGAAACAAGGCGGCAACATTTTTTATTTGTAAAATATAAATATTTAATTTTATTTATTTAGAAAGTAGACGCCATATGTCATATATATTTTATTATGGGTAAAATAATTTAAATGTTTTTTTATAAAACTTAAATTTTAAATATAATTTAAAAATGAATTTAATTTTTTTAAAAAAACAAATACAAAATGGAACATATATTTGTTTGCCCCATTTAGGTAAAAGCAATATATGGGAATATTTTGAAGACATATTTGATGATAAAAACAAAAAACTTGATTACGTCCAATGTAAAAAATGTAATAGTATATTACAATATAAAAGCACATCTGGAAATTCTCATTTAAGACGTCACAAGTGCGTTAAGAATGACGATTCCTCTATTCCTAAAATAACTAGATATATTCAAAAGAAAATAGATCTAAATTCTTCCTTAACTATTAAAAAGAAACTATGTGATACCTTGATCTATTATTGCGCCAAGGACATGCGTGCCTTTGATTCGATAACTGGAGATGGCTTTATAAAAATGGCTCAAAATTTTATTCAAATTGGCTCCATTTACGGTAATATTGACTGTAGCGAAATTATTCCCCATCCAACTACTTTATCGAGAAATGCTATAGTTATGACGGATCAAATTAGAACAAATTTGGTTAATAAAATAAATGTTCAATTATTTGATAAAAAATGCTCTGCTACAACAGACATGTGGACAGATTCTTTTAAAAAGTTTTCCTATTTAACTGTTTCAATTCATTATATCGAAGGTGAAACCTTATATAAACATGTTTTATTTACGAATAAGTTTAAAGAAGAGAAAAAACCGCCGCGAACATACATAAGGAAATGCTACAAAATTTTGCTGCAATTGGAATAATTCCCGATCAAGTGAAAAATATAATATTTATATCTGATCAAGGAGCTAATATAATTAAAGCCCTAGAAAAATACACCAGATTAAATTGCAGCGCACATCTATTAAATACTGTTCTTCGAAATACCTTTAAGGAACAATCTTTGAAAATTATCGCTCCTAATATATATCAAACCCTTATTTCTGCTAAAAAATTAACCATGTATTTTAAACAAACCGGCATGAATCAATATTTAGACAAAACATTACAAGATATCGAAACTAGATGGAATTCAAAATTAAATATGTTGAAATCTATTTATAACCAATATGATGACATCGTCAATTTTTTATCATCCAAGGGAGATATTAATAAAATGGAAAACTTGGAGAAATCTATTTTGAAAAATTTGATTGATATTTTATATCCTTTTGATAAAGCTACTAAAGAACTAGAAGGAGATATTAATCCTACTTTACATAAAGTACTGCTATGCTTTAATAATATTCTTCACGAGGATTTAAATGATTCATTTTATCAAAACAATGAAATAAAAGAAATAAAAACCAATTTAAAAAATTTTTTATTATCTAAATTTAAAATCAATATTTTGCATAAAATAGCGACATTTTTATGCCCCAAATATAGTAAATTAAGAATGTTATCATCAATGGAAATATTAGAAGTAGAGAATTCAGTCAAAAATATAATTAATTCTGAAGAATATTGTCCTTCAATTGATATTATAGATTTGGATATTCAAGGCGTTTCTCAAATTGTGGAATCGCCTAAAAGATCTAAAGGTACATTTAAAATTGTTCTATTTATATTATTTTTATATATCAGGCAATGAATATGAAAGATGGGAGGACAATGAGGAAGAATATGAAAAAAAAGAAACAGATGAGCTTGAAATTTATAAGAATTTAAACATAAAAGAGAATAATGAAAATATAGATCCAGAAAAAGATATATTAAAATGGTGGAATAAAAATGAAATTAGATTACCAAAGATGACAAAATTGGCTAGAAAAATTCTAGCAATTCCTGCAACGTCCACAACTTCTTAGAGAACTTTTTCAAAGACTGGAAGGTTATTAGACGAAAGAAGAAATAGACTGTCACCAGAAAATGTTGATGCTTTGATATTTTTAAATGATAATTATAAATATGAATCTAATATATAGTTGTGTAATTTAACATTATAATTATTTTTGGTTTATAGGTATTTTTGATAGTATTTTAAATAAATAATTAAATACTAAATAAATTTTCTGTTTACTAAGATATTTTTTGCAAAAACAAAATCTTAAATATAAAAAATAAACTAAAAGCTAAAAAAAATATAATTATTACTTTAGGATGAATTAAAAAAAATTCGGGTTCGGGCCGGGCCGGCAAAAATTTCGGGTTCGGGCCGGGCCGGCAAAAGTTTCTAAAAAAAATTCGTGTTCGGGCCGGGCCGGGAAAAATTTTTTAAAAAAAATTTCGGGCCGGGTCGGGCCTAAAAAATTAGGCCCGTGCAGATCACTAGTGTATTGGGCATTTTTTTGGTATTTGTTTTTATAATTTTATTTTTCAACTTCAAGTATATGAAAATGTTATAATAAAAAATCCTGAGTGTAGTGGCAAGGCCTCTCTTAATGCCTCTCCGACGGCTCTGTAGAGAAGCTATTTTGTATTTGATATATCCGCCTAGCTCTTATTCCCTACATTTATTAATTGAATATCATTATTTTCCAATAATAAGATATTTTATAATTGCACTATCAAATATTTTGATATAATATTTAATTTTCGAAAATGGAATCTAATAAAGAAGCCGACACCTAGATAATGTAAGAAATTAAAATACAATATTACAGCATATTACTAAAAGGAAATCTTAAAAATATTTTTCTAACATATTTTAAGCAGGGTTTAACATTTCTCAAATTTAAAAATAAGATCCTTGCTCTTTTGAAGATCAAGAAATATTAAGATTTTTTTGTAAAAAAAAATTTAGAGCATGCTTCAAAGAAGATTTTTGAGAAAAATAAAAAATATTTTTAATTTTCCCTTTGAGGTATTTTTTTTAAAAAAGAATAAAAAAAAATTTCCCTGATGCTTTTTTAAGGCTGTGTCCAAAGTATCAAAAAAATTTAATCGCGCAATTTGCGCAAATCTAGCGAAAAAAAAATATAAGCCATTTTTAATGGAAAATTAAAATTTTGGCCTAAATCATTTTTTGGTTTTGAAAAAATCATTTAGGTCAACATTTTAATTTTCCATTAAAAATGGCTTATATTTTTTTTTTCGCTAGATTTGCGCAAATTGCGCGATTAAATTTTTTTGATACTTTGGACACAGCCTAAATAAAATAGCATAAAAATTAGCAGCTCAAAGAAGATTTTTTTACAAAAATATTTTTCATTTTGCTCAAAATTTTTTTACGACAATTTTTTTTGATCTTAAAAGATTTTTTATCCAAAATTTTGGGCGAAAAAATCTTCAAATGCTCATTTGGACATCAACCCATTTAGATGGCTTTGAACCACGTTAAGGAGACGGTGATAATATTCTAAACCTAGGTCACAGGGAATCAACATGTTTTAAAAGTGCCATTAGCGTGATTTAAATAATTGGTGTAGAAATGTCGGCAACTGGCCGCCGGCCAACACACAGATCTGGACTACCTTTTTTTATTACACATAAAATCAATTCATTACTATTTAGCCAAATAATATAATAATGATACAATTATATATATATAAATTAAAATATAAATGAAAAATAAATAAATTCATTATATCATCTTTCTAGCTTAATATCTTCATCTTTCATGATTGTTCTATTGTGAAAATTGCAGTCAGCGTAATGCCTATAATCCATTTTATACTGTAACGCACCTGTTCTATCTGAAACCTTTTTTTAAAATAATTATAGAATTGGCATATTAAATTTTGATCAAAAACAATTTCTAGAAATTTTTTTTAATAAATATAAAGATTAAATCTTTCTCATATGATTTTTATGAATGTTATTTTTTGGTTAATGTTTTAAAGTGATTTGGCTTCAATGGGAAAGCACATATTAATTTAATTAAAGAAAGTAAGAAAACTTTTAAAAAGATAAACAAAGAATGAAAAAAGAAAGAAATAAATTTTTAAATTTTTATACTTGATATACAGGTATCTGCGACGTCCATACAGTTTTTCCAGAAAAACCTCTTTCCCAAGTCTTATCATATATTTTTTTTATCGATATAAAAATTAACCATGAAGAGGTCATAATTAAATTATATATTAAATCATTTATTATATATGAAATGCAACATGTAAAAATTCAGGATCCTAATAATCTCCTTGCTTTGCTTTATAAATTTATATATAAAAAAATCAAAAATTTTTCAAACAAAATATCTTTTTTAAATGAAGAAAGATTTTTGATCAAATTTTACCTAAATATTTTTTTGAAAAAATCTTTTTATGTAAATATTGTGTAATTTACATCATAAAAAATTATTGAAAATGAAATCCAAATATTTTTGGAGATTTATTTTCAAACTCTACTCCTGATCATAAAAATCAAATAAAAATGGATTATATCACAAAAATAAAAATTGTAATCGATGAATATTTTTGAGGAAATTTACTCGTTCATTGAAACAAAGGTGATAGGCTGTGAGAATGCAGAGAACATAGTATAATATGATTCTGGGAATTATATTTCTTCCCCAATAAGCTGTCTTTTCGCCCTGTTAAAATAAAATACATAAAAATGATTATCATTTTCATAAAAAAATCTAATGTATAAATTTGATTTAATTTCATAGATTTATCTCAATTAATTTTAAACCATGATAATTTGATTTATTTTTAAATCAATTTTTTTTAAAGTAATATTTTATTCAAATATTAAGAAAAATAACTATTCAAGACATTTTTAAATAAAAAAATTAAATGTAAAAAGCAATCAAGTTAAGTTTTAGATCCTAATAAAGATGGTTGCAGACCCGTAGCCAGGAATTACTGATGGGTGAGTGGGGGGCAACTGTTTATTTAGGAAGGCCAATATTTTGCTATTTTTAATTGAAAATTTGTAAAAATAAACAAAAAAATACTATAATACAATACGAATATTTTGATTTTCAAATTGTAACATAAATCAATTAAAAGATAAATCTTGGGTTATTCGTTTCATATGCCATAATAATTAAATTTTGTTTTTGTCTATCATTCAGCCTCAAAAAGTAAAATATTAAATAACTTTCGTTACCCTCAATTATTACGAGTGAAAATATGTTCATTACACTCCACTAAGCATATTGGTATTTTAAAAAAAATATTTTCTCTTCAGGGTAAAATATTCGTCCTCTTTAATTTTTTTAATATTTGATATGTATTGACCTATAATTATATTTAACAGTAAAGCTGCCAGCCCAATCCTGAGGCAACATCACCAATAAACATAGGCCCACTGGTGGCCCGAAAAAAAAATACTGATGATTTATTTCCTTCCTATTCTTTCTTTTATGCCTAACAGAATATCATAATCAGAGTTTGGAACCTGTACAAAAAAGAGTTTTAACCTCAGTTGTAAAATTTATAAAAAAAGGGAGTTGTTTCCAGTTTCTAAATATTAGACGTTTCCGAGGTTCTCGTTATACTCTCACTCTGCTAAAACAATTTTTAAAAAATTGAAAACAATTAAACACTAAATAAACTTTCTAAAATTAATCATGCGACATTTTAAACAATATATATATGCAAATTAGTTGAAGTTTTTTTTAGAACTGGCTTCTGAAAATTTCTAAATAATATAAAGCGCCAAGGTAATTATAAAAACATTTGCCATTCTGTTATATTTTTGGTTTAGAAAAAGTTGAGATTATGTTCAACCATTTTCAAATAATTTTTTAATTTTTATTAATTCATAAAAATCTTGAGTAAAATTTATTTGCATGGCGTTTGATATTCACAATATTTATAAATGTGAATATTTCCTTTAGAATTCTAGCACATTCTCTTGAATTCAATGATATAGAAATTTATAACCTCAATATTTTTTATCAACAATAACTCGTTATATTTGTTTTCTTTATTGATTTTGTTATTTGGCATGAATAGTTTTAAAAAGATAATAAAATCTTATAATATAAAGAAAGAATGAACCCAACAAAATCACTTTACAGAGGTCTTATGCAACTAGACAAAAAATGAAAAATCTGCCCACTATTCAAACTAGACCATTGCCCTTAATCAAGGAATTTTCTAATGATATTAATAGGAATTTGATTAGTCTATAAATTTTTGTCAAATTAGGGAATTTCCCAAATTATCATGAATCCAGATAAACAAGTTCGATTGTATAAATCTCCATTGATTGAGCTAATTTTTTAAAAATGATTTTATCAATGTTTGGTATGTTGTTAAAAAACCTTAATTTAGGTGATTTGTAAAAAAATGATTAAACTAGGATTATAGTTAAATCTAGCCTTCACGATTGTGTCAAAACAAGGCAGAAAGATTTAGTTATCTTTTGACAAAATTTCAAGGTGTAGGCAGTATTTGGTTGGTTAAAATTTTAATTTTGTTGTATATTTTAAATCAGCTAAATCAAAACTAGTATTTATTGTCAATATCATTTATGCATGTGCTATGGATATAAGAGTGAAAATATATAATAATTTTAAGTAAACCTACAAAAATATGAATCGAATCGATAATTGCATTATTCGTATTCATTTAAATCTAATAATTCATTATTCGTATTCGTACAAATATTAAAATGATTATTCGATTTGATTCGTCGAATATTCCATTTAATTCGAAAATTTTATTTAACCATAAATTAAAAAAGATAGAATATTAAATTTATTTTGTAAAATTTAACTATGGATAAAAGACAAACAAATTTTATTAGTAAGATAATATAGAAGCATATATATATAATGTAGTAAAATCAATATAATATTCATATCATGTATATAAGACAAATATACCAACAACAAATTTTTTTAACAAAAAGTTTTTGCAAAAAGTAAAATGTATGATTTCTCCATCATCAAACGAAGGAGAAATATCTGGTTCGCCCGTCATTCTTGACGGGATGGCTACTAGTTTATTATAATTGTATATGTGTTATAAATTGCATATAAAAATAAATACTTTCTTCGTCCATCATAAAACAATTTTCGGAAGTTAATTTTATATTATGAAGTTATTCGAATAAAAACAGCCGTTAACAACAATTTTAGAAATATAAAATGTTTCTTCATTATTCCACTAGGAAATTTTATTAAATAGGAATAATTGCAAATAATTCCTACTAATAATATATGGTTATTTTTCAATATTATTATTTTAATTGAATAATCTCGAATAATAGATAAAAAAATTATTCGACGAATAATATATTTTCCTTATTCGAATTCGATTCAAATTTTCGAATCGAATAATTGTGTTATCGAATAACAAATAATTCGTTTTAGGTATAATTTTAAGTATATTAAGAAAATATTCTTAGATTTGTAAGGAATTTTTGATAAAAAATTAAGAGCCTTTATTTATTTGAGTTAAAAAATTATCCAAAAGTAGTATTTTTAGATTTAATTGACTTTAAAAACATGACAAATTACTATTTATTAAGAAAATTTACTTACAGGCCTCAAGATCTCAAAAAATTTGGCAGAAGTGTAAAGTCTTGGGAAGATAAATTTTTAGCTAAAATCTTGATTTAGGCAGTTTTTAAAACAGCGAAATCAAGGTTTTAAACAACACTAAAAAATGGTTATAGGATAAAGAAAATTATTCATATACTGCTCCTAAAATATAATATTTATGGGCATAGGTGCAAGTCAAAGTATGTCAAAATAAATTTAAAGATTAGTTTTAACTTTGAACTCAAAAATCCCATAATTTATTAAATTCATCATCAATATTTGGCATAATTTCTTTAAGTTCTTATGTAATACCTTATGTAATTTTTGTCAAATAAATAAATATAATTTTTCTACAAGAGATTACATAAAATACTAGTATAATTAAATGATTTTCATATATATTTTAATGCAAAGAAAAATTGGCTTCTATTATTGAGTATAGAAAAGTGACTTTTTCTAAAAACCGTCTTTTTCAGGCCATTTTGCCATTTTACTAAAAGAACTTACATTTGCATTTTTTGGCTTTGGGGGTTTGCTCCCTTCCCCTTGCTATAAACCTGATTGAATTCAGTTCTAATAATAGTGCATGCACAAAAAATTTATATTACAATTTTTCCAAATATAATGCAACCTTATTTTTATTTAAAATTATATTAAAAAACGAAAATTAGTTATCACTCTTTAATTAAACAGTTGATAAGGTTGTAAATATTAAAAATAGCTCCTTCTCAGAAATATTTTTTTTAATTTTACCGGGTCATTCCATGACAAATCAACCACAATTCGGCCGACCCTTTTCGAATTTTTTAATATTTGGCTAGCAAAGAAAGGTTAGTGTAGTTAAGAAATAGCCAAAATTTTAGCCTCGTAACATTTATATTTTTGGAGATATTTGCCATTATCTGCCTTCATTAAATTAAGCATATCTTAAAAACTACATAATTGTAAATAACAAATTTAATATCAAAATTACGTACAAAGATTCTACTTTCAGATAAAAAAATATTTTTTATTTTTTTTTCCAATTTCCTGTCATTTTATTTAATATGCAAGGACTAATAACGATTTTTTGGAAATAATACGACCTTCAATTTTTTTAAAAAATTTAGTAGATATTACTAAACTCTTCCTTTACATTTATAAAAAAAAATTGGTCTGGGACGCGGCCATCTTCATTCTCAAATACGATAAAAATGTTTATGTAAAAAATTATATATTAATCCGTTTTTAATGGTTTTTCTTGAACTATGATATAATTTAAAGGATTATTCATCTTGTAAGTGAAAATAACAACAAATGGTGCTTTCATTCAATTATATAAATTGTCTAACGATAAAAGAAATTCAATTTATTACTTTATAATTTATTATAAAATTTTTTGCCCATATAACATATATTTAATGAATATTAATAAAATATATTCAGCAAAGTTTAAAGTTCTTGAATATATAAATCAGAATCTTGTGCATTTCATATATGGACCTCTAAATATTAAAAATATTGATATAATATAAATTTAATATATATCTCACTTTTAAAAGATTCTAATTTTTCAGTAGCGCATTTACTTTCTTGTGACGACAATGTATAACTACGGCCAGTAGCAGTTAACGATGAAACTTATGTTAAGATATGACATTTTGGAAAGTAAAGAGTGTCGTCTAGTGATCTGCATCGGGCCTGATTTTTCAAGCCTGGCCCGGCCCGAAATTTTTTTAAAAAAGTTTTGCCGGCTCGGCCCAAATGCGAATCCCAACCCGAATTTATTTAAATATAGAAATTAATTTTTATAATTACTCAAAATAATATGTTATATGGCGTTTAGTTTCAATAATTAAAATCAAAAATTTTTATTTTACATAAAAAATTCAATATAAAATTGATAAATTTAGATATATTTAAAAAAATTTCCAAGGTCCGACCCGACCAGGCCCGAATATTTTTAAAAATATTAGGCCCGGTCGGAACCCGATTATTTTAAATAAAAGCCCGAGCCCAGCTGAAAGCTCGTTGGGGCCAGGCCGGGTATGGGCCGGGCCTAACTTTGCAGATCTCTAGAGTCGTCTATACTTGGAAATATAAAGGAATTAGAAGGTCCGGATGGGTATAAAAACTTTATATATATTTCTTACTGCTTTTGATTTTTCCCTAAAACAACCACCAAATCATAAACAAGTTTTTGAAAATCTTTCCCTGAGTAATAGTTCTTAGGAATCATAATTTTTTTGGGTCATATATTCAAAATATATGCCATAAATATTTAGCGAACTCGTACAATTCATATGATGTGATTATTTGCTTTAAGTAAGGACTTTGTAAACTAGCTCTAGAGGCTAATCTTTTAACAGTGCCACCAATCCTATTACAAACACTTCTCCTGTGTGCTGTAGCAGAAAAATATCATTCCACTAGTACCCCTAAATCCATCTCATCATTGTAAATATATAAATTTTTTACGATTTTTATTCTGCGCAGCGGATCCATCGGAAAAATAAATTTTTTTATTTGACATACAAATTTTATTAATTTAAAAATTTACTAATGTTTTTTGGAAATAATGGACTGCTATTGTATTGTGTTGCAATGATTCGAATATCATTACATAATTTAGACAATAAATATTGACAAAATTATCTTTTATAATATATAACAAAAGGGTGGATGAACAGTGGATTGAGCCCTATTCCAATGATAACTTTGTACTTCATCCTGAAGTATAAAGCTATAGTTTTCTGAAAAATCACATAAAATTAAATATTGGCCTTCGTATAAGTTCAATTTTAGATTGTTTTAATACAATGATTGTTGCTTTGAAATAAAAGAATGGGGTAATAAATATTCGATTTTTTTTAAAAAGGCATTGATAAATTCATCTACTGGCTTGGTTATTGTTTCGAGTGGTTTTATTTACGGATAGCCATTATTGTATGTTATAAATTTGATGTCCATAGAACAAGATATTTCTATTAGATCACGTAAATGTGTTAAACCCTGGTCAATTATCACATTTGCCCATATAAATTTATTTTATTGATTGAAACACTCATTTATTGTTATTCTTATTTACAAGTAAGGGTATGCCAATTTTAGAAAATCCGATCCAATATTTATATTGTTTTGGATTATTTTATGATGATAATACTTTTATTTTGTATATAATAATTTCATAATAATAATAAATTCATATATGTAATATTTTAAAAATATCAATTATTTTAAAAAATTGAGTAGCGAAAATTTTGATATTATTTTTGGCATCATATATGAAATGGACAAAATTTCTTATATTCAAGAACTCGAAACTTGGTTGTACATATTTTATCAATATTCATTAAATATATGTTATATGGGCAGAAAATTTTATAATAAATTATAAACTAATAAATTGAATTTCTTTTATAATTGAATGAAAGCGCCATTTGTTGTTAATTTCACTTACAAGATGAATAATCCTTTAAATTATATCAAATTCAAGCAAAATTATTAAAAACGGATTAATATATAATTTTATACAAAGACGCCCCCTCTCGGGAAAATATTTATACACTTTTCTAAATATTTTTATTGAATTTGAGTATGAAGATGGCCGCGTCTCAGACCAATTTTTTTTTATAAATATAAAGGAAGAGTTTAGTAATGTCTACTAAATTTTTTAAAAAAGTTGAAGGTCGTATTATTTCCAAAAAATCGTTTTTAGTCCTTGCATATTAAATAAAATGACCGGAAATTGGATAAAAAGTAAAAAATATTTTTCTTATCTGAAAGTAGAATCTTTGTACGTAATTTTGATATTAAATTTGTTATTTACAATGATGTACTTTTTAAGATATGCTTAATTGAATGAAGGCAGATAATGGTAAAAATATGTCATTTTTGCCACTTTGAACCCTAATATCTCCAAAAATATAAATATTACGAGGCTAAAATTTTGGCTATTTCTTAACTACATTAGCCTTTCTTTGATTACCAAATTTTAAAAAAATCGAAGGGGGTCAGTTGAAAACTTATTTTTTCTTATGCATACTTTTAATAGGTACAAGTTATATATAATATATATTATTCTAAAATAATGATCATGATTTGCATGATCTTTAGCTTTAGGCCATGTTCTAGGTCAGCTTATTATTAAATAGCTAGCCATTTAGTATTGATTAAAATAGACAAAAATGCAAAAAAATAATTTTTCTTTTAAAAAAAAAATATGAAAAATAACAATGCATGCTATCAAGTACTAAAATAAACCAAAATAGGGTGTTATAGTTCAAAATTTTTTTATTCTATAATAAAAAGCAAATAACACCCTAATAAGTATATATTAGAATCTGGTTGAGCCAGCACTCTAAAACTTGAATTTTATTAATTTAAATAAAAAAAGTTTGCCCAAAACACCTTAAATAGAATAGATTATTTATGCCACTATAAGTTTAAAATTTAAATAAGTTACAGAATTATTACTATTATAGGCACTAAAAGAGAAAAGAGCGTGTCCATAGGCCAATGAAAAGCTCTTCGAAAGAAATTATTGTAAAAAGTATACAATTCTGGAATATCCACAGGTTCTGTCGCTTTTATTTCTTGGTCCTTTAACCATTGATTTCTCCATTTTCTTTCAGCATCAGTCATACCTATTATCAATTAATTATAATTAAAGCAACATATTTTACCTGCTAATCTTTCCCTTTCAAATCTCATTTTTCCCTGTAAACTCATAGGTAAGTCTGTACGGTAACTCGGTAATTTTTTGTATAATGGATCTAAATAATCCTTCATCTCCATATTATCATTTGAATCAATTTTTATATTTTTATTAATCTTCCATTGCTCAATACTTTTATCCTCGTCACCTATTTTCGGATATTTATTAGGATCATAACTATCATCATGTGATACAATATTTTTCATAATTTTATCAGTCTCCGTTAAAACTTTAGATGGAATATCATCAGAAGTTTTCAAATAATAACTATTAATGTGGAAAAAAGAAAGTTGCTGATAATTAAACCCAAATGAAGAATTATGATTAGTATTCAAATAAATTTTACTTAAATTATTATATAATATATAAGTATTATGATTCTTATACAGAATGTATTTCAATGAATTAAAATACTGCATTTTAATTTACTAGCCGAACATTTTAAAGTGTTGAGATTTAAAATAAAACGATGATGTCTATATGACTTGTTAATATCATTGTTAAAAACTTTAAAATAAAAAGCGTGCTTTAATAATAATTATTATACAATACTCCAGTGCTAAAATATTTTTTAAATACAATAAATATAATTAAAATTTCATACTAATCTCTCTTAGTTAAAAAAATGAATATTATGTGTTTATAACGTTAGAGAAATTAATATTAATGCTAAGAAATTACTAAATTTTATGTCAACTAAAATTACTATTATTTTTAGTACAATAAAAAAATTTAATATTATATACGTTAAAGTATAAATGAGGGAATTAATTCAATATTGCTTATTTTTTTAAACAAATAAAAGAAAAAAATTATACCCATATGATGATAAAAATGAAGGCATTGGGGAATCAAATAAAGAACATCATAATTTTTTAATAAATAAAGAGATATTCATTTAAATGTATTGATTATTTTTACCTTTAAAATATAAACGTTATAGAAGCAAATAAAAAAATGTAATACGTTTAAAATATAAACGTTGTAGAAGGATATAAAAAAATGTATATTTTTTAAAATAAATAAAAGTTTAAAAATTTTTATATTTTATTTGTGTCTTTTATAAAAAATTTATTCTCTTTTTAAAAGATTTAATTAATTTAATATGCCTAATGATTGCAATATATTATTAAAAATATCATTTAGCTCAAGAAATTTTGATTTATCGAAATTGATTATTGAAAAACAAGGCTAAACTCTTGAAAAAAGAAATCAAAACTTGCATTTAATTTTCTATCAATAATATGAAAAAAACATGAGTGAATCACTAGATAAATTTTCTAATTCTCTATATAGTTGGTCATGTTATTTTCAAAGAAAAAATAAGTTTGGAATAATAAAAAATTTTCGGATATAAATAATGTTTTAAAGATAGTTTAACGGCATGATCAATGTAATTTTACTCAAAATTGTATGCTTTGACTAATAAAAATAAAAATGTTTTTGAATTGCTTCCCTAAACTTGGCACTTCGTCACTGCAATGCTTTTATTTATATCTAGTATAGAATCTTCTATACTCAAATTCTATAAAATTATGAACATATACTTAGAAACGGCTCGTTTTGAGCCGATTTTTAAAAACGGCGAACTCAATATTTTAGCCTGAAAAATATTGCCTAAGCCTCGAGATTTTGATAATATATGTATAGACCTTTGTTCCTTCTATGAGCAAAATCTTGAGGCTTGCGTAATAATTTTCTGGATGAAATATTGAGTTAGCCGTTTTTAAAAATCGGCTCAAAACGAGTCGTTTAACAACACTACATATACTACGTCAGCATAAAATCTGACAGTTGAACGTTATCCTTTTTTAAATCATAGGACAAACGTTCATTTCTTTTGCTGATCAAAAAATATGAGTTGATTTTGGAATTCAAATTTTAATGGATTGTTCAGACAGTTCTGAACCTGATGATGATATTCATGGGTAATTTAAGCTGCTATATTCATTTTTTATTATATATATATTAGGTTTGAAGAATTTATTGATTTCAATGATATCTATAATAACAAAGAAAGTATTTTCAATTTATAAAATATTATCTATATTATATTATAGATATTTCTTTTGGGACTGATATTGATATATTACCTTATAAACACTTAAGTGATCAACATATATGGGAATTAATTGAATATGATATGATAAAATATACTAAAATACTTAACTCTCTTTTACTCTGTGAAAATTTGATTAATCAATGGCAATGCTTACATATATTACAAAGTTATAAATGGAACATATCCAGAATTAAGCAAGAGTAATCAAAATCATTATTATTGTTCTTACATATTTATCCTTAGAATCATTCAATCAACCACCAAAATTACCAATTTTTATATTCTTTGTCAAATATTAAAATTATTATCTTCTACCACTGACAATACAAATTATATAAAGAATCAAGTAATTATTTTAAAACATTTTATTATTATAACATTTTCAAATATTATCATATTTAGTGTAGATAATCACATTGAAGAGATAAACTTATATCTATATTAATATTAAAATAGTCTATAATTAGGGGGGATTCTCTTTTTTACATATCAGTTTTTTTTTAAATTAAAAAATTTATTTTCTAAATTATATTAAAGAGCTAAATGTGAATCTTTGATCATTTTTATATAATATGTACTGCTTAATAGTGGATTCATAGGGATTTTTAGTTTACTGGAATTCTTATTTTAGTTAAGCTCTATTTTACAATTTTTTAAATCTTAATCATAGATGAGTAAAAATTCTATCTAATTTTGGATCTATTAATAATTATGATTAAATAACACATCTAACATTTTTGAAATATTCAGATATCCAAACAGACATAATTTTCTGAATAGGCTTATTCTGACTTCTCTTGCTATAGACAAAAATAAACTGCAAAAAACATGCCTGACAAGATAGTCATCAACATCAATCTGTTACAGCATTTTTGAATCTAGAAGTGCCTATTTTGAATCCCCTTGGGGAATATAAGAATGGCCTCAACCAGATATTTTATCTGAAATAGATATGTTATTAGATTCCAACAGCCAATTTATTTTGTTAAAATGTATTAATAAATTATTTAATTACTCAATTTTTTGCAATATCTTTCAAAAAAATAATATGGATTTGGCTGAAGTTATGAGAATTGTGAATATTATTTTATTACACCTTGGAAAACTAGGAGATAACATTGACCATTTCAAGAGATTTATGTGATTACTGAGGTAAAAGGGAAATTAAATATGAACTCAATTGATTACTCCATTTTTGACTCAAATCAATGAACAATTTGTGATTCATCAAATGGCTTTATCCAATTTACAAATACTATTACCTTTAAATCCTTCTTAGGATTATTAAATCTTGATATTGAAAAAATTAAACATTTAGATGAATTTGCTTAGAGATATAAGTATCTAAAAGCCATTTAATTTCAGAATTTAAATCTTGGTATAAAAGATTAATATTAACATTTAGTCCTCCAGGAAATTCAATAAAAGCATTGCATACTTTAAAATATATTTTGGAATTTTTTTCAAATATGTATATTAAAATTACTATATATTTTGGATATAATAGCAATTAGTATGAGCACAAAGAGGATCTTTCATTGTGAAGATTAAAAACATATAAAATTAACTGAATGAACTAGCTTTTAACTTAATATCGAGATTTAATCACCATTTAGAACAAATTATTGAAAAATTGGCACAATTACAAAGAAATTTAAATTTCTTATATTTTTCTATGATACCAGTTATAGCTAATATTTTTTAACAATTATTTGTTCTTAAATATTTTGTATTTACCATTTGGTATAAATTTTATATTGATTAGTTATATTAAATCTTTAATTTTCCAAAAAAAAATTATCCTTTTATATAGAATATTTCTTGCTACATGCCTGTATCCTTTCTTTAATTTTTATGGTGTCCTTTTTTATTTCTAAGATGGGACATATTCCAAAGAGGCTATACCATGTATGGTTGTCTTAAATCTTTCATCCCAATAATTTTTTTACAGAAAGTATATTTTTTAAAATAAATTAATGATATACTTTTCTACTTTAAAATGAATTTTATTGTATTGGGGTATGGAATCCATGGGGAATCTGAATATCTCAATTTTAATTTATTTATTGAAGGAAAAAGAATTATTAAATCTTAATATTCTAATTTGACAAAGTATTTCAGCATCTATAAAATTCCTACCCTTTAAATTTTGAATATGCCATAAAGGTTTATACATTTTTTTAATTTCTTTTTTCAAAATGAATTGTGAATTGATTTTCCAGTGTGGTTAAATTGTTTGGTTAGGTTGATTTAGATGATTTTTGGTCAAAAAATGAACTAGAACCAACTCAGCCAAATGGGTTGATCTGGTTGACCAAATCCGAAACTAACTTATTAATATAATATTTATAATATTTTGTTCAATCATATTTTTATGCATAGAGGACGAGTATTTCAATATTATAGAAATAATTAACTTTAAGATTACTTTTAAAATTGTTCTCTTATTAAACTGAAAATATTTGATAATTTTTACTTTACATTAGAAACTCAAGTTTTGATCGATAAACCAATTTAAAAACTAGAGGACGAGTGGTTCAATTCAATATTAATTAAATATTTAGCATCAAATTCAAAATAATTATCTTCATCGGGAATACTTATAGGAATTTATCGTTTTTTTAGATATTTATAATTCATATATCATTAAAAAAAAATGCGGGTAATATATGTTTATTTAATTAATAATTTTATGGGCCTCACTTAAAGTCGTAAAGATTGGCTTAGACTCAAGCCGACTAGATGATATAGCTTTGGCTCGAGTCGGCTTAGGAGTTTGATTCGTTCATATTTGGCTCTAGTTAGTTGGCCAATAGTTGGCTCGATTATGTGTGAATATTGAACTACTCGTCCTCTAGTTTTTAAATTGGGTTAACGATCACAACCTCGAGTTGTTAGTATAAATTAAAAATTATACAATATTTTCAGATTATAAGAAGAGAGCAATTTTTTAAAAAGGAATCTAATATTATTAAAGATAATTACTTTTATGCTAATAAATATTCGTCTTTGATGCATATAAATATGATTGAACAAAATATATCGACCATTTGGTTGGGTTGGTTCATTTTTCCATTAAAAACCAGGGGCGCGTGTAAAACCAGCTATTTAATACACTAAGATTTTCTATTAACCTATTCAGTTTTTTTCACTTGAAATTTACTTTAAAAACTAAGGGTAAGGATTCTCTCAAGTAGAAAATATTTCTAATTACTGATGTAAACTAACTCATTCAAAAAATGAACGTTCGTGAACAAAATTGGTTTTTTGAAAAAAAATGATGAACGACGTTCTTTTTTTGACGAACGCGTTCCTTTTTTACGTTCGTTCAATTTTAGAAAATCTTATTTATTCATTTGAAAATAAAAAATATTAATCCGAATTTTTTAAGAAAAATGGTTATTTTTAGGGCTGTGCCGATATTAAATATCGAATTGGATCAGCACTGATATTTAACTTTTGAAAATATCAGATCAGGCCGATACCTGTAAAAATCGGATCCGATCTTTTTACGTTTCTTTTTTTTGTTATTTTATTTATATTTATTTTACTTTAATAATATTTTCTAAATAATTTAATTAAAATTTTTTATTCTAATGATCTATGGGGGAGCTTGAGGAAATTTGACGCTATATATTCCAGCATTATTTTAAAGGAATATCTGGAAGAAAGATCTCAGAGGCATCTGAACTAAAAACACTGGATCTTTGATGTCCAAAAATTAATACAGAAGAGTGAATCCTAAAAAAATTATCTTTGATCTGGGCCACTAATTTATAATATACAAATTGAGTTCTCTGATTGGATCACACGCTTCTGTGTTTGTTTTCTATAATACAATAGGATATTCTTTCAATTTTAAATCTTCATTATTGTTGACAGCTCTTCAAAAAAAAAGATGAACTTAAGGTGTAATCATATTTATTTCAGAGCAGTGAAAAATTACATTTTTTTGCATCTTATTCATTTAGCATATTTCTTGAGACGTTATTTTTTGGAACAATATATTTTAACCTATTTGATCAAAATCATCTCCATATTTTTTAATTTTCTTTTCAAATAAATTTATTTAACTTGTAAAATGAAAGAATTTTATACTACATTTTTCCAATTTTCTTCCATGAGATCCATTCTATGCTTCTCTATATATTGATTCTGGATATCAAATATTATTATCAAATGACGAAAATAATAAAACATTTTATGCAAACTTGGCATTGAGGCACTTGGTCAGGGTACAATGATATATAATTTACTTCTATTAGTACAAGTCGTAATAATTATCCCACCCCGAAGACGATTTTGAATCTTTATTGCAAATGAAAGAAAATAACAAAAGTCAAAATTAATCACACATTACAAAACAAAAGAGATTAATAGGTATCATTATAAATTCGTTTAACGGTATTGAACATAAAAAATAAACACCGATATTTTTACGTATTGGGAAAAGGAATTAAAGGAACCCGAAGAAACCTATTTATTAGCCACGCCATGTCTGTACCAAGTTATGCAGGGTTCGTTCGAAAGAGCATTTTCAGGATTAAAATATATTTTATCGCCACAAGAGAACAAAATTGCGAAATATATATTAAATGATATTTTAATTATACGGTGTAATCATAAATTTATATGACAGCTGCAGACAGTCTTGTAAACTCAATTAAAAAGATATGCGGGAACATTGAAAGAGAACTCAGTAAGTAAAGGCTAAGGGTATGGATCCTCTCTAGAAAAGAGAAAATAATTCTAATAATACATAAATTTTAACTAATGGCCGCTTATCATGAACATTTAGCATCGAATTATCTTAATACCAAATTGTATAAATTATTCAAATACAAAAAAGAAATATTTATTTTAAAAAATGTTTTTTTTCATCAAGGAAGTAGAGCTCAAATTGGAAATTCCATCATTGCCTCTCCCCCACTAAATACGTCATTGAATTATTCTGTAAACTAATACAAAATAATTCATAATGTTTTTGAATTAATTTAGGCTATATCCGAAATATAAAAAATATAATTTTGAAGAAAAAAATTAACATAAGCTATTACAATGTATAAAAATAAAATAGCGTTCTAAATTATTTTTAGTCATACAAAAATTTATTTTTTAAAATTAAATAATAGAAATAAATAAATTTGAATAAAAAATTTTCAAAATTTATTTATTTGTGTAATTTTTATGACAAAATAATGGAAGATTTCGGGCATGTTCCATAATTTTTTTAATTTGCGAAAATTTATAAATTTTGAGGTGTTTTCAATATATTTAGGACACAGCCTTAATTGCACTTTTATATGTTTTAGGAAAAAATGCTAATTTTATTTTTAAAAAATATATAGATCTGTGAGGTGTGCCTGACAAATCTAAATGTAGCAGCTTTGTCATGTGGACATTCTTTCTGCTTGCAATGTTGGGAAACGTATATTGGACTTAAACTAACTAAGGTTTCGGAAGCGACTTTCCACGATCCCGATCTCACAATTAGTACTGATCGAAAAAGAAACGACTATTATATCCATAAAGAAAATAATTACAATCTAGCGCCTTCCATAAATACCAGACCTCTGAGATCAACCTACAAGAACCCTTCATTTAGCACCTCGAACTATTTATTAAACTCCTATGAAAGTGAAATAAACGTTATTTACAACTTTCCGAACAATAAAACGCCTTTGGGTTTAAAGAGAACTGGTGGTAAAATATTCTTTATAATAGTAGATCGGCGATTAATATGCTATAGGTTTTTAGTCAAGAATCTCCTTCCCTCACTATCCCTTTACATTAAAAAAAATAGCTTGTAAAAAAAATAATTTCAATTTTATTGTTAAATCAGATTATTTTAAATGAATTGGAAATCGAATCCTATAATAATCAAGCCTATAAATTTATACTATACCTCAATAATTATAATGTATCTTTTTCTTTATTATTACCTATTTAAAAAAATTTTATTAAGAAATAAACTTTAATTTATTAAAATTGATATGATTTTTTTATCGAATCCTATAATAATCAAGCCTATAAATTTATATTATACCTCAATAATTATAATGTATCTTTTTCTTTCTCATTACCTATTTAAAAAATTTTTATTAAGAAATAAACTTTAATTTATTAAAATTGATATGATTTTTTTTTATTTGGGGGGGGGGGGTGTTCTCCAAAAATATTATTTTGTTTTTGTTCCGAGTGCTATCGACATGCATCTATTGACAATTTTATTTAAAATATCTCCTCGATTATGCATTTTAAAAAATTCTTATGTTTTATCTTACAAATACATATTTATTATCGGAATCTCGCTGGACAATAAGACCCGGACAAAGGTATCTTCGGACATAAAGACACCTAGTTAATAAAAAAAAAATTAAATTTTTAGAAGGGGGATTTTATTAAAAATAAATATATTTATTAGGACTGTGCCGATTTTCACGGATACTATATTACTAAAAACAGATCCATTACCGATCCGATAATTATATTGATTTTTATTTACAAAAATATCAGTGTTTTTATTTTAAAAATCCCAACTAACTTTCACAAATGATTAAGTGGTTTATTCTCCAAAAGTTAATAATCTCATTTAAAATATTTGCAGTATTTATGAGTGTAAGTAGTGTTTGTTATTAAACAGCTTTAGACTATTTATTAGCTAAGTCTCTAAATTTCGCCTATAAAAATCCAAACCTTTCTGCCCTCTATGGAAAAGGTAAATAAACTTGAATAATTTACTTTTGGCCTAAATCTTGATTGGCTAAATTGAACCGTTTAACAACACTGGCTGAATTTTATTCGTCAGATATTTTATAATCCTTATCTTGTTGCAGATAATATAACAAAAATAATGCATAATTTTTAACTCTTTTTTCATTACGACAAATAAATTGTATTTTAGTTACTTTCATTAATTTATTATTATGTGAAATTATTTATAAAATTAAAAAAAATATATATACAATTTATAAATTAACCAAGAGTAATAAAAAAAATATCGGATCCGATCGGTTTTTTAAAAAGTATCAGCTCGATTCTATATTTTTGGAAACGCTAAATATCGATGCTACCCGATATTTAATATTGGCATATCCCTATTATTTATTATACACTGAGACCTCAGGGTAAAAATTATTATTATGTAATCTACTAAACAATATTTTATTAAACTAAATATGTATTTGTTAACCCTACCTCTGTATTCGTGCTGAATTTGCCAAACAATGATTAAATTCGTTTTTCCCAGCTGAATTTTTGCTATCTCTCACTCTTAGTCAACTGGTGGTTCTGATTTAATTCAGAAAAGAGGTCCCAAGGAATGAATCCCATCAAAAATCAAATGCATAAACATAAAAATCAGATGGACATCTATTAATTACATTACTGGGATGCTTTAAAAATATTCATAAAATATTTATTTTAAAAGTCTAATAAATAAATTTTATTAAACATTACTCCGTTTCCACGTTGGCTTGATGCCATCTCTAACCCTGAACTAACGGCCGATGATGGCTTGCTTCAAAAAAAGGTTCCTTTCAAAAATGGGTCGCGAATAGTTAAGATGCATTAATTTAGTTTCCTGCTCATTATACTACCAGGATGCTTTAAAATATTTATAAAATTAATTGTTTTAAAAATTTAACGACCTACGTCCATGCGGCTAGCTACCATTTCCCTAATCCTTGTTATTTTTTTTGTATATATTAGAGGTACCATTTACACCGCCTGCCGGATTAAAAAAAATTTTTTTTAGGCCCGGCTCGGAATTTTTTTAAATTATATTCGATATGATATATACAAAAAATTCATTTAATCGGTATTTTATCATATTTTTCGGCGATATTATCATTTAATAAGCAAGCATTTTAGCTAATGTTGTTAAACGGATCGTTTTGAGCCGATTTTTAAAAACGGCTAACTCAATATTTTCGCTAGAAAAATATTGACTAAGCATCGAAATTTCGATACTATATGCCTAGACCTTTGCTCCTTCCATCAACAAAATTTTCAGGCTTACGTAATATTTTTCTGGATAAGATACTGTGTTAGCCGTTTTTAAAAATCGGCTCAAAACGAGTCGTAACAACACTACTACATATTTTATTTATTTTTATTCTAAACAGATATTTAGTATTTGATACTATAAAAAAATTTGTGTAAATAATATTTTGAAAATATACTATATTAATTGTATTTATAAAAAAAATAAAACTTATATTTTAATTAATAAAAAATATAACATATATTATATAATAATGTATTTATTACCTATTATCCTTTGCGTATTTATTCCATGTCAGGAAAACTATTTAAATTATGTAATAGTTACTAGATACTATGAGTGTTAGTTAGTGTTAACTTTCACCCAACATTATATTAATCATAACTATATATAATCATTATAACCATATCTAATTGAAGAATATAATAATTCATGTTGTATAATTTTTTTAAAAAAATACGGCCCGGCCTGGGTATTTTAAAAATTTTTTTACAACGACAAACAATTTTCATTAAAACGAGTTTTCTTTTGTAGTGTCAAACTCTAATTAACATTAATTACCTCATTATTTTACTTATGTGCACCGCTTTTTTTATAAAAATGTATGCAACAATGCATAATGACTACGCATTATTAGCAAAATATTTTTTAAGTGAAAATTGATATCTATTTGTGGAAGAAGTTTTTAAAAATTTTACCTTATTCTTAGCATTTAAAAAAATTATTTAAAATTGGGTATTCTTTATGTGTCTTTTTGAACAGAGGTATTTTTATTGTCTATTTGTCCGGGTCTTTATGTGCAAGACACATTTTGACATTATTTATTATTACTATTGTCAATAGGTATAACTTGCATGCACACTGATTGTGAAATGGAAGTCACGTTCGACTTTATAGAATCCTACCTCTCCCGAACGATTAAAGACTCTTACAAATCGAGACTTCTCAACGAAATTGTTAAAGTGAATTTTTTTTAAAATGTTTATTGTCTTATCTTTAGAATAATAATTGCTAACTAAAACTTATAACCTTCATTAGTTCCCTTTATAATGAATTATCTGCTAAATCTCTTCAATCTTTAATTTAAAAAAAAAATTTCGGGCCTGGCCAAAAAATTTATTTGAAAAGGTCTCTGAAACATTAACCACCTTTACTATATATTCAACCTAAAATTATTAGTTAGCATGAGTTGAATATAATGGTTGATCAAAAAAGTTTTATAATTGATGATAAATAGAAATTTGATTTTATCAATATGCATAAAAGTATTTTGTATCATTTAATGAAGATCAAATACCAGACCAATAAATAACCGATATAATGCTACGGACATATTTAAGCACTTGTTAAGTTTTGGTTAACTTAAATATTATTTCAAACACGACTAATTTTTAATAACGTTCCAATCAATGTAATTATAGTTTTTGCCTTGTTTCTTGGTTTATTCCTTTTTATTTTACTTTTTCCTTTTTTATGCTCTTTATATCCTATAAATTTTGTTAAGAGGAAAAAAAACGAAATAATCGGATACTTAAAAAAAGAGCTATAAAAATAAATTTGGAAGAAAAATAATAATGATTTATTTCGTTTTATCTTAAAAATAAATATAAATTGATTAATAATATAATTAATTTAAAAACATGAAATAAATAATTTTTGTAATTACTTTCTTTATTTCTTTTACAAATAATAATATATTAAAAGAATGATTACGCAAAATAATCAAAAATAAATGAATTTACAATTGAACACAAAAAAACGACCCATTTAACAAATATAATATCTTATACTTATTTTAAATAGTAAAGTGACCGATCATAAACGGGTCAAGATAATAAGGAGCTAGTTATTATTAAGATAATTTTTAAGCTTCTTTCGATTTAAAAGAAATAAATTAAAGATGCTGGAGATTAGCGAAACCCAGCTTGATGAAAAATATTTCGAACAGGGCCAAAGTTTTTAAAAGTTGATATTTAAACAAATTTATGTCGCTTGTTCATCTTTTTAATTTTTTTTATATATAATATTCCACACTGAAAACCGTTTGCAATGACGAGCCAATCCAAGGTCTTTTTTAAATCAATTCGATTTTTCTGACCGATGACTATAAAAATATATTCAACATATATGCTTAGTTTTAAATAAACGCATAGTTATGGAAAATTTTGATTGTATAATTGACTATATTTCTTTGAAAAATTTTTACCTTACATTATGAGCTTTATAAAGTTGTTTAATATGTGGTTTTCATCATTCCGAAAACTCTATTTCTAACTGAAATGGAAAAAAACTTTTTTTTTATTGTCTTATCACTCGAAATATTGTTATAACCATTTTAGGGTTGGAATGTTTAAATCAATAATTTAGAAAAAATAAGTCATGATTTGCGTCAATTTTACTTCTTTGTAGGAATGTACCGATATTTTTATCGGATCGGATCTAACCGATATGTCACTTATTTTAAAATATCTGTTATCTGCCAATATTATAAAATTTTCCGATCCGATAAAAAATGGTTTTTTTAACAAAAAGAAAATGTTATAAAATTTTTGAAAATCATTTATTTTTATAAATAAAATCGAAATTCATTTTTATATTTATTTTTTTAATAATAATAATTAATTAATAAACAATCTGCCATATTGTTATTTTTTTGCGCATTCTGTTTATAAAAGTACTCGATATCTCTTCAGAATCTTTTTTAGTAAAGCTGGTGATATTAACAGTTCCCATCGCCGCAGACTGACCTCTGATATCTTCGATATATTAATTTCAAATTTCAATATAGATGTTACACTAATAAAAAGTATATTGAATTAAAACCATTGTATCTTTACAGAATACAAAATTAGATATATCAATTTAATATCTGGAATATCGGATTGGATCGGCCTCCAAAAAGTGGTATCGGTACATCTCTACTTCTTTTTTTGTATTTTAAATATTATTAGTTTTTGTTTCAAATATAAACATTTTATTATACCTCATTCTACTATATTTTACATATGTGTTTTTATTATTACTAATTTTATAACTAGAGGTGTACCGATACCACTTTTTGGAGGCCGATCTGATCCGATGTACCCGATATTAAATTGATATCGGCCAATTACCGCAATATCATATCGAATTTTGTATTCTGTAAAGATACCAATTTTTTAGTATACTTTTTTAGTATAACATTTATAATTTAACTATAACATATGTCATTTAAATATATTATAATGATCAGTTATAGTTTATATTCAATTCAATTGCAATTCTAAAAGTATATAAAATATTTTATTGAAAAATCACTTATTTATATAATAAGTATTAACATTAATCTATTTACAGTAATAAACAAATATATTATAAAATTTGAAATAAATATTTAAATTAATATTTAAAATTAATATATCGAAGATTTCTTTTTAGAAATACCAAAATTTCCAATTTATCAGAGGTCAGTCTGCGGCGATGGGAACTAGTGTTGTTAAACGGCTCGTTTTGAGCCGATTTTTAAAAACGGCTAATTTAATCTAGAAAAATATTACGGAAGCCTAAAGATTTTTTTATAGAAGGAACAAAGGTTTAGACATCTATTAGCAAAATCTCGAGGCTTAGGCAATATTTTTCAAGCTAAAATATTGAGTTAGCCGTTTTTAAAAAAATCTGCTCAAATGAGCCGATTAACAACACTAATGGGGACTATATCACTAGCTTTATTAAAAACAGATTCTGAAGAGATTATTGCACACTTTTATAAACAGAATGTAAAAAAAAATAAAAATATGGAAGAATGTTTATTAACTAATTATTACTATATAAAAAATTAAACATAAATAGGATTTCGATTTTATTTATAAAAATAAATGGTTTTTGGATGTAACTTTTTTTAAAAATTTTATAATATTTTATTTTTGTTATAAACGTCATTTTGTATCGGATCAGATCGGGAAATTTTATAATATTTGCTGATGATATTTGAAAATAGGTGAAAGATCGGCCCGATCCGATATAAAATATCGGTACATCCCTATTTATTACTATAAAGGATTTTATATGCGTTAATTTTTAAATGATTTTTCTTAATAAATCCTAAATATAAAATTATATTTTCTGTTATTTTATTTATTGTAAATTTTTGATACTTAGAAAAATTCAGGTACAGTTTATAAATACTAATTCTTGTTTATTTAAATTTTTTTTATTATATATTCAATTATAATTTAAATTACATATTTAGAATGTATTATTATCATAAATGGTCGTATATATTAATAATTATTATGATAAAATCCTTTTAGTTATTCAATATTACCAATTAAACCTTTATTAATACATTTCTTATGAAGATAGATGTAATATAATAAAATAAATGTATTTATTATTTAATATACTTGGGGTTTATTTATGTTGAGATTTTTTTTCAAATTTATTTTATTATAAAATTTGATTTAAGCCTAAACTTTTATTCTTTTTAAATTATTATAATTGTTTTAGGCTCATCCTAAACTAACCAAATGTCCTAATCTATCTTGCGAAGCTTACATGCAATCCAACGAATCCCTTCCGAAGAAAATTATCTGTGACAATTGTCAATCTCAATTTTGGTTTTTAATTTAAAAAATAACATATTCTTGAATCTCTCAAACATTTTTTTAAAAAATGTCTTATATATGTTCAAATAAATTCAATTTCTTTAAAAAAAATAAATTTATCAATTTCTTTAAAAAAAATAAATTTATCAATTTCTTTAAAAAAAATAAATTTATCATTTTCTTTTAAGCTTTTTATGTCGCGAGCCTTACCACGCCCCTTGCGATTGTCTCACCATAGCCTTATGGACCAAGAAATGCAGCGATGATTCCGAAACATTAAACTATCTAAGAGCCAACACCAAAGACGTTATATTAGACATTACTATTATATTTTGCACTAAAATTCTTATTTAAGCTAATTTTAAAAATATTTTACAATTATTTAGGAAGAGTTCCTTAATCGCTAAAAGTAGTATAGAATAAGTTTCCATTATAATTGCTCTTTTAATTTTAATATTTGTTAATTATAAAGTACCTATTCAAATTAATACTTTATATAAATGATCTGCACCTAATTTTTTAAGCCTGGCCCGAATTTTTTTTTAAAAAATTTGTCCGACCCGATCTTTAACAATATTTATTTTTATTTACTTCAAAAAGCTCATGCCAAAGTTAAAATAAAAATTATTTGTAGATCCGGTCCTAATTTATTTAAATACAGAAAAATTTCATATTAAAATTGTAAAAATATTCAATTAAAAAATATTGGCTCTTTTTCTTACAAAAATTTTAAAATTTATTTTACAAAATTAAATGATATTATGCTTAAAAATTTAAGCCCGGCATGGTCCGATTTTTTTTTAAATATTAGGCTCAACCCGCTTTGCAGATCTCAACTTTATATATTTAAAATTTTTTATTCGTTCATAATATGATATAAACACAGCCGATTCTTGTATATTAGATGTGATACTTTTTTATTTTGAATTTATCTTTTAAAATTATCTTGAATCTTAATCTATTTAAATTTTAAAGAGATACCCAGACTTTTTTATTTTTATATTTGTCACTTTAATACAAATAAATGTAATTAGCAAACAAATTATATTATTCATTAAAATATTAAATAAAATTCCCCAAGTTTTTTTTTGCATATTTGACACTTTTTTTAAACTTATTACTTTACTAATTATAAATTAATACGATCGAATCATGAGAAATTAGATTATAAGGATAAGATTATCTATTCAAATTAAATATACTCGGAAAAAATTTTGAATAATATTAGTAATGATAAAATTATGGCAAAGTGTTAACTAAGATGTCTGTTAAAAAATAAATTAATGGATCTAGTCAGCTTTCTCAAATTTTGTTAAACATCTAAAATATTTATATGATGCTCTCAATGCTACTTATAAAAATGAATACAGTTAAAGAGGTTACATATAAAATTGCAATACGCATAAAACCATAACAAATAATCTAGAGGAGGAGGCGGGCTTTCTGAATAGCTTTCTTCTCAAAAATCTTATCGAGGGTTTTAGACATGTTTTTAGGCCTTTGGTCTTTTTACATTTAAATAATAATTTTAGCTTTACATTTTAAGTTACGTTTATTTATGTTTCAATTATTGTTTATAAATAACTCATTATTTCATTTTTTGAGGAAGTGTGTGGAGGTAGTCAGAGAATATTTTTTTAGTTTAAATCAGGATTAATTGAACCGTTTATTCTATATATATATTATTAAATATTTTAACGTTTATTCCGAGTTTTATTCAATTTTAAGTGAATGTCTCTTGGATAATTTTGGGAATTTTTTTATATTTTAATATTTAACCCTTTAGGTTCCCTCATAAAATTAATATGTTGCAACACGATATTTAGTAATTTTTTTATTGATTCTAGTATAATATAATATAAAACACACGAAAAAAGTTTTTTAATTCAAAATGGCGGCTCTCCCTGGTGGTTTTAAATTCATATCATTGACACCTTATGGAAACTTTCGAAACAGTTTCTATTTTTATTTAGACATAGTGGTACGTTGCATGATTTGCACGACCACCTTGTTCTTCTGGGATTTAACTTTGTACTACAGAAGGTACACCTTCGTGAGGTTCCTGCCTGAGGTTGATGAGCTGAGTTTTTTAGTCTAATTTCTGGAAGGATATAAGGTTTATTATTTTTTCTTTGCATTGATATATAATTATTATCATTATGAATATTATCATCCCTATTAACATTTTTACAGTATGCCAATTCGCTAGCAATTATTTGTCTTCGGAATTCTTTCGATGAGAGTTTATTATCTGTAAGAATATTGTATATTATGAATGAATTGATAATCGCCGCATCTATCAGCCAAAAGAATATTGGTAGCCACCATTTTCGCCACTTTCGCGAAATTTCATATAAAGACTTTAAATGGTCGAAATGGTCAACAGACCCCATATATTTATTATACATCTTTATCATTATTGGACATTTTACGTCAAATACTTCCCCTTTTTTATTTTTTCTCTTCACAGTATCCACTGATCTCGGATCAATATAATTGGACATTATAAATACGTCACGATTATCTCGCCATTTAATTATACTTATATTATTTTTGTCACTTCTCCAGTCAAACTCACCTCTTTTTAATTTTGTTTCCATATTCTTTATGGGCAAGTATCTCCTATTTTTGTTTAGTGTTCCGGCAGCATATATACCTTTCTTTTTTAAATCGATCAATTTCAATTTGATAAGGTGTATCCGATTCATAATCATCACTATCAATTTGGTAACGTGTATCCGATTCATAATCATCTTCGGAATCAGTGGATGAGTTGTCTAACGAAGAACCTTCAGATGGAATGTCCAGATAATCATCCATATATATAACAAGCTAAAATTATTGCGAAATGAGTTGGCAAAATTTATCAATTATTTAAAAAAATAAATATTAAAAATATTGTTGTTAAGTGGCAGTGGTTAGTTTAATATACCACATTAAAAAGATCAAAATAATATATAAATATTATTTATTTGAGCAAAAATAAATATTAGAAAGATAGATAAAATAGTGAGGAATATATATATTTAAAAATTTGATAAATATACTTACTTATAATTAAAATTGGAATTTTAAGAAAAATCACCGTAAAAAACGTATTTTGAAATAAAGGTGCGAAAAAAAAAATTAAAAAGTAACTCCTCCACAAACATATGAAAAAGAATATCTTTTAATATATATTCGTGGTGGTTTCATTTTATATGATCAACATCAACTCCTTTAGAAGATATAAAGGTTAAAAGGTGGTTTTATATTTGCACTACCGCGACCGAAAGGGTTAACTTTCATGATAAAATAATTTGCAAATGGACACATACTACTTTTATTTTTACTGATAAAACAATTTTAAAAAAACTATGAAGCTTTTCGGATTTTGAAAATTTATATCAAATCCTTTAACATTTAAGCAGCTCAACCAAACCGTGGCCTTTTAATTTTTTGCTGAACCGTAACCGAACTTTTATAAACAATGATTCGGGCCCAGGATTTAAATTATATATACAAAATTCTGTAAATTTACTAAGAATATGACCACCCCCAACTACGCTTATTACAACACATTATTACCTTAAGTCAATCAATTGATCGAGCTTATTAATCAAAGATATTTGATTTTAGCACTCAAATAATAAATGCTATGGAAATAAAAGCCTTCTTTGGGTTTAAATATGTTATTAGAATAAAATTTTGTTCTTGTGACCCCAATAATCAACGTGGTTAGGTAGGACAACTAGTATAAAGATAATCATGAAATATCATTCTATTTTTCCTTTGCCGCGGTGGCAATGACGCCCCGCCCTTATCAATGTTTGAGAGAGGGTGAACACAAATATATTTCAGCCTAATAATCTTTTTATAATATTAAACTAAAATCAAATTGAGAAGAGTTGAAATTTCTTCTATTTTCATCTAAATTTGAGTAAATATATAAGTAAAGTATTAATGAAAAGTGGTATATAAAATAAAATTAAACATTTTAAGATATTTTAAAATTCTTATACGGGACCAAAAAATATTTTTTTTTAGTTTTTGGTAATATTCCTAATTTATCACAATAATTTTTAATTTAGTAAATTTTCCCTCTTTTTTTATTTGACATTATATCATCATTGTCAATAAAACACTTAATTTTTTAAAAAAAATCAGTGCCCAAAATGTTTTGTCAGCATCGAAAAAAATGGTGGTTGCAATCATATGGTATATTATTAAATCGATTTACTTATTTTTATTTAAAAATTATATTTATTTTTCAACTTTTCCATTATTACATTATTTTCATAATATTTATAATAATATTAGGCGTGCCGTGAATGCAAACATGAATTTTGTTGGATGTGTCTCAAAGGTTAAAATATATGCTCCTTTTCTTTTAAGCTCAAATTGTCAATTATAGAAAATCTGTCGGATTAATATTATCACTTGTAATCCTTTATTTTAAATTAGTCGCTAAAAATTTTGTTCAACAAAATTTATTTATGCTCAATATCTATATTTAATTATTTAAACTAATAGAACAATCGCTCCTTAGAAATCATTCTGACCACTATATATCGTCGGCCTAGAATTGGAGTGCTCCACTTGCGCAAATGTTTAAATAATAAATTAATATTAAAGTTTAAAATCAAATATAGGAAAAACTTATTGATCAATTTAATTAAAAATTTCAGAAATAATTTATCATATTGTTAATTAATTATTTCTTAAAAAATTTTTGCTCAAAATATTTAAATATAAAATTTATTTGATAAAATCAAAATGCAAGTGAAAATATAACAATTTACGATATTTTTTTTAACGTTCAAAATGCAATGCTCCATATACATTTTTTTTATTAGAATTTAATAAATATATTCAAATAATAACTTCAAATCATCGAAATTAACACTATATCTTAATTATTTCTAATTTATTCATGTAATAATGATCTTTAACAGGAATTCATAATTCATCACATTTTTTAAAATATAAATCATAAGGTATTTTATAATTGAGATTTTTCCCTCAAAGTGTTTATGTGATCAATGATGAAATCTCCATCAGAAATAACATTTTTAGTATTTTAACCTTTTCTAGAGATAAATTAGTTCCAGTATTTTGGTATAAATTTTTAAAGAAATAACTAATATGTTTATTAATTATGTCAAGTGTTTGTAAGAAAAATTATCTGCAAACTCTAACTTAACATTTTCCACTTTAAAAAATATAAGTATGATTAGTTTTTATAATTTAAAAAATCTTTTACCCTTCTCTTACATGGAGTCCTAATAGTAAATTTGCTATAGAAATATCCTATAGCTTCATCAGCTAAGCTCCAAAAAGCCTCATGAATAATTTTACTCTGATCTGCATTAACTAACTTTTTTTAACATTGAAATATAAATTTATTAGAATGATTATTATGAACCATCCTTGTTTTCAAATCACCTTTAATATTTTTATAAAGGCATTCCCATACTCTTTTTCTTTCATTTCACGTGCTTCTAGAAGTTGAAGGGCGTGGTAAAATAAAAAAAATAATTTTTACTATATTTAATGAGCAAGTAATGCTTAATAATTTATTTAAATTATGAGCAAGTGATTGTGTTAAATTTTAAAAACAATTATTTAATCAAATTTAATTTTATATAATTTTTATTTAAATTATGAGCAAGTTAATTATTAAAAAATTGTGAAATTTCATTATGATTAATTAATACAATTTGTGTAACTTTATTTAAAGATTACACATGAAAACTATATTAAGAATACTTTAAAATAATAAAAAATGACATTAAAATAATTTGGAATAGATATGGAATGAAAATATTTTACGATTCAATATGGAAAGCAAAAAAATTAAAAAAAGTGAAATACAACACGTGATTAAATAAGATAATAGGATAGGCCATGCATATGAAGTAAAATTCACATCTTTTATGCAAATAGCGCAAACTTGACAGCTATAACTGGCAGAAAATTAATATTTTTTTAATCTAGTATTTATTTTATATATTATTGGGAATTAATAAGTTATTATCCATTTCTAACTCAAAAATTTTGAAAATGTCGAGTGGATCACTCCAATTTTAGGCTGACGATATACTACATAAAGCCGATATGAGGCTTAATTTTTAAGCAAAAATTCTTAACGTAATTTTTTTAGATCAAAAATTAGGTGAATAAGGAATTAATACCAAATATTCTATATCCAAAAAAGCCTATTTTTACTAATTTACATATCAAACAAATCCTAATTTATAAAATTGGGGGAAAATGTCCAATATTATAATCTCATTTCTAAAAAAAGACTGGTCGACCCATAATAAGGAATATTCTCAGTGTTCTAACTTTGAAAATGAAGACCATGTGTTTCAAACTGATAGTAACACACAAGACTCGATATATCAAACTTTTCATAGCAATAAACAGATATCCAAGGCAACCCTTGAAAGATATTTGTTCTATTATTCTAGGGTAAGAGATTATTTTTATACTAAATTTTATGGAAGGGGGGGGGGTGTATTGAATATTCGAAATTTGTCAAAAACATAAATGAATGCACTAGCATGATTGTTTATAATTTATATTAATATATTTTTTTCGTAAAATTTCTTTTTATAAATTTATTTTAAAAGTGGGAAAATCATAAAAAATCTCTGGAATGGGAAGAACTCAATATAAAATCATGCATCGAACAAAGGAGCTACGATAAAATGCTACAATGCCAAGGCACTTGGATAGATTGGCAATATCTATCTAAAGCTGCCGATCTGTTGATTAAAGTATTACCTCTCAAACGTTTTTAAATTTAAATATTATATGTATGTCTTATTAAGTTTTCATCCCAAACTCTTAAAGTCCTTTTGTATAAATATCTTGTCAAAATGGACGGTCAAAATATAATATAAATAATTTTAAAAATTAATTATAAAATAATTTAAAAAATTAATTATTATAAAATAATTTTTTTTACCTATCATAACTTCTGATAAATTTTTTATTTATTATCTTTATACCTATACTTTTTAAAAAATAGTGCAGGCACACACTTCAATATTCTTATCCTTACTTACATTTCGCGCCACCTAACCCGCAAAGATACATATTTCAAAAACAATTATCCCAATTAGAAATAGAGCTCGAAAATTTATCATGGAAATTGGAGAGAGTTGAGATCAACCATAAAGCTGTGAGCAACTAACATTTTTTATAACCGGCCAAAATGGCACCCCGATATGTTTTTATTGGGAACTAGTTAACTTGGTGTTTTAGAAGGTCTAAATTATATTTCGCGTTGTCTTGAACTGATCGACTTCTTAAACTAATATTGTTCCTTTAATATGGATGGTTTCAATGAACATTCTAGTGAATTTAATCGCCCGAAAATAAGAAAAGTTTAAAAAATAAGGTGGGAAATATTTCATTTAATATTTGTAATAAACAGATAAACATCGGTATCAATTATTGCTGAATATTTTAATTTTGCATAATTAAAATAGAAAATATAATATATTTTGAGTTTAAGATAATATTTCCTACCGCTATTAACAAAAATTCGAGCCTTGGGCTAAGCTTAGACTTATGAAAACTTACCAATGAGCTTTGGGTAGGTTCGAACCTAAAGAATCTATTTTTCGAGTCTGGCTTATGTGCTTTGCCCCACCCTCTTATTTCAAAGGGACACTCACATTCATACTAGCCTTGTCTTTATAAGGTAAACAAAATATTGTGATCAGAGACCTGCAAAAGTCGATTTTAAGTACGAATTTTTATTTTCGATAATTTTTTGGACCAGCCCGGAATTATTAAAATTTTGTTATAATCTGTTTTAAAGGAAAATTGAAAAATGAACAGTAAATTAATATTAAACTAGTGTTGTTAAATCGCTCGATTTTATCGATTTTTGAAAAGTGTTAATCCAAGATTTTAACCTAAAAAGTATGACGCAAACTTCGAGATTTCGTTCATAATTGACAGAAAGATTTAGACACTATTGATAAAATGTCGAGGTTTAGGTAATATGATTTTGGCCATTATCTTGATTTTGCTCTTTAAAAATGGGCTTAATCGAGTCATTTAACAAAACTACATTAAACGCTCCGCTCCGTTATATTATTTTCCAACTAATTTTATTTTTTTTAAATTGGCCTAGTCCAAATTTTTAAGCTGAGCCCAGATTTTTGAAATCACTACAAGTCTCTGATTGTGATATCGATTATATTACATTTTTAAATTAATAATTCAAAAAAAAAATTGCGAAAAGGAACTGGAGAATCAGATGAATTTGGTTGACAAACGAAGAAATATATTATTAAAATCATTTTACGAAAGGGATAATTTTTAAAAAATATTTATTATATTTAAAGGATAAAAAACAAAAAAATAAATATTATTTAAAGACTCAAATCTTATTATTTCGTTTAAATTGTAGAGAGTTAATAAAACCAGTAATAAACATTTATTGTTTTTTTGAAAATTATATTTAAAAATTTATAAATTATATATATATTATAATGATATTTTGTTGATTATGAAAAAGATATTTTTTGCAACCATAAAAAATATATAGATATAAAAATAAATTATGAGATTATTATATGTTATGGTTAGGGGGATAATATTGTGACCTAAAGAAAAGATAGCTAATAATTTTGTATTGTGAATAATTATATTTTAGAAAATAATGTTTATATAAAATGATCACAATCTAAAAAAAAAATTGACACAATTATTGCAGTATTAATAGAAATTTTAAGAAACATTTAAACTTATTCATTATATATATAAATATTCACATTTCTTTAACGGCTTATGTAAATATTTAAAGATTTGCATAAATTATTAATCATATCATATATAATTAAATTAGTGAGTTGTTTTGGTGTGTGATTAAGTTTTCAAAGAATCGTACACGATTTAAGTATATTTGATAGGAAGGAGTTGCTATTCGAAGATGCGTTAAATTTTGAGTCCTTCAAGCTTTTAATGCTAGAATTGGATGAAGGAGTTTGTAAAGATTTTGTCAATTTCTATGATAAAGGAAAAAAAAATAATAAAAATAGGTGATTTCTTTATTCGTTTTCTATGACTATCGGCTCCAATCTCATTCAAAATTTTTGTCTAGCAATTTTTAATATTTCGGAAAATGCAAATTCCTTATCGGGATTCGTATTATTTAACAAAGTATAGTGATATTTATCATTTTTTTATAGTAGGTCTGTCAAATCATTTTATTAATTTAAAAATAACATGTAAAAATTTCTTTATACGTTTTATCCAAACTTAATGATGTCCTTTTTATCCTTATAATATAATATATATTTCTTTTATTTAATATAAATATCTAGGCTTGTTAATCGATCCTTTTAAAAAGATCGAATCACGATCTTTTGAAAAAAAGAGGATCGAAATCCAGGATCGACCTTTTTTTAAAAATAGGATCACGATCCTTTTCTTATTTAAAATTCTGATCAATGCAAAATTAACTAATATAAAAAATAAATAAATATGGTATAAATTTATTGTAATTGAATAATATAATATAAGTATAACAATTAGAATATATTTATTTATAATTAAATTAGCCTTTAATAATAAATTTTTTTCTAATTATCAATTTAAACAGCCACATTTTCCATTAAGTACATGTTTAGCTTCACTGAACAAGCGCTCCATCTAAGTGCTTGATAGTCAAGGTGTTATATTCAATAAATGTTTTTTTTAATTAACATAATTATTAAAAATATTCACTGAATCATCATTAGAATAAAAAAATTTATTAATGGAAAGAGCATTTTGTGACGAGTTTTTCCCCAAAAAGGTATCGATCCATGCATTCATTTGAAGGATCTGCGTATGGATGACCTTGTATATTTTCTAAATGGGCAATTAACCTTTCTTTTAGCAACAAATTTTGTGGCAGATTAATAAAAGGCCAATTGCTTAAATTCTGGGTGAATTATTGATGCCAATATATTGCATAGTGAAGGAAATCTATAATTTTTATTAAATGCATATTTTTATGATCTTTAAAAAATAATAAAAATTGTTTTTAAAAGAATTAATTACTTCTAAATGCCTCTTTAGGTTTGAACTGCTAATCTTTGAAGAAGATATTTTGTTTTTGCATAAAGAGCATTTAGCATAGATCATTGTATGGTTACTTCCATCCGTTTCACATAAAGTAAAATCCTTACGTAAATTATGAAATGGTAAAAGATTCTCATTCTCACTTATATCTGCTGTCACATCAATAGAAGTAGATATATCATCTTCTAAATCTATAATGAAGGACATTATTAAAACCTAGAATTTATAATATAATTAATAAATAAATATAGCTTGTTCTTACAAAAAATTTGGGAAATTGTTGAAATATAAAAATAGGTGGAATGGTGGTTGATAAAATATGATGTAGATAGATATTTTTTTTAAAATAATATTTTAATTTAATTTTCAAAATTTTTGTTTTATTTATTGCTTTTTAAGTAAAAAATAATTTTTAAAAGGATCGGGAACGAATATTTAAAAACTCGATCACGATCCACATTATAAGGTCAGGATCTTAAATCCGAGAAAATTGACAAATTTAGGATCGAATCCAGGATCGGCGATCTTTTGATTCGATCCTTTAACAACTCTGTAAGTATATATGAAACGCAGTTGTTCCTTGTAATTAGAACGACGTTTTTTATAATTCATAAAATAAAACTTAAAAAATTATAAATATATATTTGGTACTTAAAAAGAATATAAAACAGAAAAAATAAAATTCGTTTCGAGTGTTACGTTCCTATCAAAATATGAGTCCTTATATTTCCATGAGATTCAAAACATTTACATCTTCTCAAAGGTGACTACAGGCTCTGCTTTAAATTTTTAACTACCAATCCTCAATCGCCTCTAATAACTTAAAGATCTGTTTAAATTTTAGGTACCAGAGCCTTAATGGCCTGGATTTAAATCTTATAAGGAAATTATAAAATATTGTAATATTAAACAATTAGCAAGTAAATGGCTGTTTAAATAAAACAGTAAATTAATATGAAAGTTAGTTGGTTTTTTTTAAATAGAAAATATTAATATTTTTATTATATTCAAAGATAGATGGTAAATAAAAATCAATATAAATATCGGATCGGCTTTTAGTAATATCGGACCGGTGAAAATTTGGATCGGCACAGCCCTAAATATAAATGAGTTCCCAAAGGAACCATAAAATTTAAAAGCAACCTGAATCTTGATTAGGATATAAAAATTCCTTGAGATCATTTGTAAGTTATAAAAATTCGAACTTTTACAGAGATTTTAAACATTAAAATGGACCGCCACATTAAAAAATTAATTAAAATATTTCAAATATAGAATGCTTCATTTTGATATTTTATGTCCCAAATATTAGTTGTTCAACCAGTAATGGGAGGTATAAATGATGCTGAAATAATCGAAATTATCCCTTTGTCTTGATCAGACGTGCTGACTATAATACGCTCTGGGGAAATCTTTTATTTGAATATCATCTTTCCCCAGAAAATATTGATACCATACACCACTTACTTTAAAGAAATCTGAAAAAATTAATTACTCACTCTCATAGTCGTGCTACTATCAAATTTTTTAAAACTAGCACCTTACAAATGATCCCTAAAAATTTGTATATTGATTAAAAATCCAAATAAAAAATTTCAATATAATTATAATTTCTTTTTTGGAAACTCAATTATATAAATTTTAAAAAAAATCTTTTTAATTAATGACAGAAATTGTCTTATTCCAAATCTTCCATGTGAAAAGTATACTGGGATAAAGGAGCAAAATTATCATTGATTATAAATTTATATTTCAATTCGCGTTTGAATTTTAGGAAATAAAAAAAATAACTTGATGATTGATATTAAACTTTAGAAAAAGATCTTTTAGGAATTTTTAATTAATTTTATTTGAAATTTAAAATAAATAATTAAATTAAAATCCCAATATATTTAAACATTGTTGAACCCGAACTCGTTAAATATAATATTAAATTTGGGGTTATAAACCCAAATAGTTAGGATTAAGGTTTGGTTCGCCAAAAAATGGACTTAAGCGACTTCAAAGTTTAGGATACCTGCAAGGTTTTTTAAAAAAATATTACCAATTTTTGTTCCGTTTTAATCTTTATATTGTTGGCCAATATGTGGAAAGCCTTTTCAACATTTATCCCAGATTTGGCACTCGTCTCTAAGAATGATATACTTTGTTCACTGGCAAGCTTTAAAATAATTTTGATTTATATATATAGAATATAATTAAAACTTAGAATTAAAATATTAGTACAAGATTCATATTTCTATTTTTCCTAAGGTTTAATAAATAGTCTAATATATTTTTTTAATTTATTAAAAAAAATAATTAAATGGTTTTATCAGATTGTCATAAAAAAGGTATTGTATTGAATATTATTTTATTATATGTAAATTAAAATTGGGCAAAAAAAAATGTTATATCCATACTACGTTATATAAATAAAACAATCAGAGTTTGGAACCTATAAAAAATAGTTTCAGTTTCGAACATGTTTCTTTGATATTTGACACGGGTTCGGTTCCATGTTTTTGCCTTTTTTTTGTAAAAACCCGGCTTCTGTAAATCTTAAAATGGGTTTCGGTTGCTAAAATTTTTAAGAGAAGGGTTTAAATTTTTTGATCAGAGCCTGCTCGATGGCAAATTTTTTTTTAGATCTAGGTCCGTTCTATTTTAATGGTATGTTATACTTAAATATTCGACAATAACTTGATAATTTAAATGATGTTTACCAATTTTATTATATTTATAACAAGATAATAAGAAAATAAATATTTCTAACTTCCTGATTTTTTTAAATATAATTATGATATTTCATTCAGGCAAAAAAAAAGGGAAGAATAGGAAGGAAATATAACACTAATATTTTTTTCGGGCCAAGGAGCCTCTATTTTATTAATAATATTACCGCCGGCCCGGCCTGTCATGCAGGACTTTTTCGTAGATTTGTCCGGGTCCCAATTCCAAACTCTGAAAAACACCATTTCCTAGTGTATATGAAGCATTAAAATCTATTACTATCATATATGTATAGATTTATATAGTCGGCCTTCTTTTTTTAAAAAAACTCAGCCTGAATCCTATAAATTACCATCCATTTTATAATCTATCAAGGTAAATTTCATGTTTATATAACCTCCTGTCCCCTTTCCTTGGAGACCTGTCTTAATTGAGCGGGCACATCGCATTTATTTCCGCATATGATTTTCTCGACATTGGACGAAGGGCTACTAATATCTTTGTTAAAATTCGAATTATGGGTCGTGGTGTGCTCTTCTATGTTTCTGATCCAATTTTTAATATTATCGAACGATTTTTCGTTCGTGATATCGTAGACGAGAAGTATTCCCTGATATTTAATTTTTTGAAAGAATAAAAATATATAGTTAGTATACAATAAAATAATGAGAAATAAAAATACACTAAAATGGACAGTTATTTTTTGGTATTTTTTTAACTTATTTACCTTAAGAATAATAACTATTCTAATAAAATTTATAAGAAAATAAAGATTATAAATCTTTGCAGTAACGTTTTGTTGACTATGAAATTCGTTAGCTACCAATTTTTGGATACCGAAGGGACGTATAGGCCTCATATAACTGAACTCATTCTTTAAAAAAAACTATAGTAGGTTAAAATATTTTCTTGCCTGATTTTTTTAAAAATTACCAAAACTGTTGATAACTTAATATTTGAATACTTATGACCTATTTTTATATCTTGTATATTTTTTAGGCATATTATTAAAATTTATTTTGTTTTAAAAAAAGAAGAAAAAAACTATTAATGAAAATAGTGATTTAATCTAGTGTTGTTAAACGACTCATTTTGAACCGATTTTTAAAACGGCTAAATTTTAGCCTAAGAAATATTGTCTAAGGCTCAAGATTTCGCTAATAGATGTCTAGACCCTTGTGCCATCTATGAGCAAAATCTTCAGGCTTGAGTAATATTTGTCTGGATAATATAATGAGTTAGCCGTTTTTAAAAATCGGCTCAAATCGAGCCGTTTAACAATACTAATTTAACCAGGTTATATTGTTTATTTTCGAAGCGTATTTCTATCTAGCTTAAAAACTTATAACTCTGCAATCGGCCCGAAGCCGAAATAGGCCCTTAAAAAATTTATCTATAAACTTGGGGGAAATTTGAAATTAAAAGATATTTTATCCGAGCCGGGCTAAAACAAATAATCCAGCGACCAAGGATTAAGAATAAATTTAAAAATTTGGAGTAGAGCTCGAGCTTAAATAAATTCAGGTCTGGATCGAACTAAAATTGATTTTTTTTTGTCGAATGGATGATATGAAGATCAAATTACAATTCCACCCATGGATCAATTTATGTCCAGTCTAAGCAAAAAAAATTTATTATCATTAATTCTTTGTATATATTCAGCATAATTTTTTTTCAAATATATTTAATTCATATTTTAAATATTTTAAAAATTTTGATAAAGTTTAAAGGATTTATTGCAAATTAAAGTTGCACTAAATATTACTTATATTTGTGATAAAATATTTCATATGAATTGTTACATATTTAATTTAATATAAATTGTGATATGTTGTTTCTGATAATTGTTAGAAATTCGTATATAAAAAAAGATAAAGTTTTACTTAAAATTTTTTAGTGCAGTTAGGTTTAAAATTTCATCCTCGACTATCTACAGGAAAAAAACTATAAAAAAAATTACAGTTACTATGAGTTTAGTTCATTAAATTAATTTTATTTTTGTCTTATTTTTGTTTTGTTCAATTTTGGTTCAAAAAAATTAAGAATAAATTCTATTCGAATTTTAATCGCTTTAATAAAATTCTATTTATTGAATTTGATCAAAATACTTAATATAGATAACGACAAGACTTTATATGAAAAATAACTAAATTATACTAGCAATCATTACTTATTAGATAAAAAAAAAAATACTTTATTTATTTTGTATTTCATTGTTTCAATATTTGCCATAATTAATTGTTAATTATATAATTCTAATCTCAATGTAGTTAGAAATTATTTAATATTCTAAAAAAATAAACTAGTCTGTTAAATTCTGAACTGTTGAACTCTTCTTCTAAAATAAGTTCTGGTTCAGTTAAAAATCTCTGAACCACGTTCGGGTTCAGGGTTTGCAGTCCAGAAAAATAAAGACTTATAAAATTTAGTAAGAATATAAATTTGTTTTATTATAATTAGCATTTACCATAAAAATAATTTTATCATTATAATTAGAATCATATAATACAATTTAAAAAATAATAATCTATGTTTTTTTAAATTTTATAAGATAAAAATCATGATATTTTCTAAGATCTAGATGCTTATATTAGAAGAGCCATTTTTTATGTTTAATTTTGACATTTGACAGTGCATTGCAACTTTTCATGTACTCAATATTGGTATTTGTAAAAAAAACTAGTTTTTTTAAACGTTTCCGTAGTTTAAAATACACTTAATATGATGAATGTCCTGCTAACCATTATTCATTTATTTCATTAAACGAATCAGATGCAGCTTGGAATTTTATTATGATTGATAGATAAGAGATTGGTTGAAGAAATAAAATTAGCCACGTTCCAATGCCATTTTGCTTTCATTTTAAATTTAAAATTGGGAAGGGGGGGGGAGGTTAGAAGAGAGGAAAGAAGTGTTGGTGAAAGTATTACAATAATTATGATTTTCAGGAAGGGATTATAAAAAAACAACCATATAATTATAAATAAATAGTAAACTAATTTAGTTATAATTAATCTTTTTTTAAAATTTTATCAAATAACCAAACACTTTAAAAATGATTAGATTGGTAATTGATTTGTGTAATATTTAGCAATAAAAAATTGATTTATCCTCAGAAAAAGGGTTTACTAACAATATTTATCATAATATAATTTAAAAACTAGCCTCTATCAGAAAAAGACAGGGAGAGTTTTAAAAATTTTAATTTCTGGGAAATGATAAACAATTGCCACAAAACTAATAAGATTATTTTAAATTAAGGGTATTAACGAATATTTTACATTTGTCTAATGCATCAGGACACCCAATTGGGAAAAAACTGTAGCTAAAATAAAAAATAATAAAACAACGATTATTTTATTTGTCAAAAAAATAAATTTGGTTTAAAAGTTTTAATTGAGGATATTCATAATAGTATTCGTTATAGATAATGAATGATTTTCTTTCTGATTCACCAATATAAACTAGCTACATTTTTTTTAAAACAGTTTACACATATCGTCGATTTTTGATTGAGAGTAGGCTTTTTATTTAACTATATAAAATTAGCTCATGACTTATAAATATATATTTTTTCAATAATTATTTGAAGTAAAAATATTATACTAAGGTGAAAATTGGTTTAAATCCTTTAAATCAAAAAAATCGATTTTTTTAATTTTTCAGAAAAATTATCAATTGTCATACTAAATAACATTATCATTCATGATTTTTTTTATAAAAATTAAGGTAAAAATGTATATATCACCATTATCTATATATTTTTTAGTAAAGATAGAAATTACTATTTTTATAAATTATAGGGCATTTGCAGGTGTGTAACAAATGAGGGGATAGTGAATCCCCTCCCCATTGCAAATTTGCCTGGTCTTGCAAATATCAATTTAAGTTAATATTTTTCCCCTACACATCCCCATCCCGCTATTCCCCAAAAAACTGTACCATAGATCATTATAAGGAAGAATTTGAAAGAGAATTCAAATTTTTTTTTGAAAAAAGGATGTCAATAAATAAAGTGAAAACCCCAAATTATTTTTATAAAAATCTAATATAATCAAAGGCCTACAACCAAGTGGACCTAAAGATCTCCAATAAAATTAATGGGGAAAAAATTTATCTAATAGCCCCCCCCCTTAGCAAAATCCTAAATATGCCTATGGGGATTTCTGCTTGGTTTCTTTATGTCTGAGTGTAGTGTTGTTAAACGGCTCGTTTTGAGCCGATTTTTAAAAACGGCTAACTCAATATTTCATCTAGAATACGCAAGTCTGAAGATTTTGTTTGTAGAAGGAACAAAGGTTTGGATATCTATTAGCGAAATCTCGAGGCTTAGGAAAAATTTTCTGGCTAAAATATTGAGTTAGCCGTTTTTAAAAATCGGCTCAAAACGTGGCGTTTAACAACACTATCTGAGTGTATTAAACCAGTGTCTTTTTGTTGAAGGGTACCTTTGTCCAGGTCCTTATCTCCATAACATTTCTGACCAATTATCAAAATATTAATTACCCTCTTTTTTAATCAGTTAAATTGAGCTTAATGTGTCCAAAGCATCAAAAAATTAAATTACCTAACTTTCAAAACTTTAATGAAAATAAATAAACAAACTATTTTTATAAAAATACGAACTTGTCCAAAACATATTTCTATAAAATTTAACATATACAATTTCATTAAAATTTTAAAATTGACAAGTTTTGAAACTTTTCAAATTTTTAAAATGGTTTTGGACATAGTTTTAAGAAACAGGCATATCCTCAATATTTATAGGGGGGGGGGAGTTTATAGATGTTTTTTTTAAATTAAATTTATTGGGTAAATTTAGGTCCCGTTTTGATGAATATGGTTGGATATATTCTTTAAAAAATATTCTTGGTCTTTAATATATTTTGAAATAAAACGTATACTTATTATTTTAAACGTTATTAACTTATATTGTTTTTGTTTATAATACCATATATTGCTCTCATTATGGGGTAAAGAGGGACCAGAGTCAATGGAGAATACCTATCCCCACCCCTGTCATTAATTTTTTTTAAGAATTGATAATGTAATTAGTGATTTTCATTTAGAGTAATTATTACATTGATATTAAACAATTATAAAACAAAAGTATTAAAATTGGTTCAAAATGCAAAATTGATATAAATAAATTAAAATCACCATCGCGCCTCTATAATATGCTGTAGTTATTGTTCTAAATCTTTCATGGCCTGCTGTATCCCTAAACAAATATTAATCTATTAAATATTTTAAAAAAATTTACCAAATTTGTAATTTTATTTTTTTCCCATCTATTTCTATAGTTTTTATTTTAAAATCAATACCTAAAAAGTAATTGAAGCATAAATATTAATGTACTATCTTACCTATTGTTGCTATAAATGTAGTATTAAATGCATCATCAGAGAATCTAAATAAAAGACATGTTTTACCAACACCTGAATCTCCTATTAATAAGATTTTAAATAGGTAATCATAAGGCACTTTAACAGAAGTGTTAGACAATGACATATTTATTTAAGTAGTTATTAAAGATAAAAGCACTTGATCAATAAATAACAAAATGCTTAAGCATTTTTGTTGAAGCGTGATTTTTTATATCAGGTGGAAAAAGGATTGAATTATTCATAAATGTTAGATTCTTCCATTATTTAGGGGTATCTTACGATCGATCACTATATCATTAATCGCAATGTTATGTCATTTTATTGGAACATCATGCATTACTTAATGTGATTGTGACATGATAATGCTTAACTTTATAAATTTTAAAAAGAATATTTTATATTAATGCCTATAAAAGTTATTTTTCTAGCACCATGCAATCAAAAACCTCCACATTTATAATAAATGATTATGGTATATTGTTTGGCATGAATATGCGTTTGCTGATAGAATTTTTAAATCTAATCTAACCATTTTAAATGTTATCAAGAAATAGTTTATTTGGAAAATAATATCTATGATTGTATGAACTATTTAGGTCTGATCGATGTTTAGCAATATCATTCTATTATAATAGGTTGAAGTAATAATTTTTCAGCAATATATTTTGCCCTATTTCCTGAAAATTTAATACTCCAAATAAATTTATCCCATCCCTAGCCTACCTCTCTTAAACTAACTATTCCTACCCCAGACTCAAGTGGACGCTATAGACAGGTGTAAAATATTTGTTCATTTATAATCCAGAAACGTTCTTGGAATTTCGAACATATTCTCAGGAGTTATGGGGATTAAATCAAAATTTCCATAAAAATTTTAAATTATATTAAATTATCATTAGAAAAAAGTTTTAAATACATTGATTATTTGCTAATTGATTATCTATATACCATAACCCAATATTTTTATTTTCCTCAAGGCCTTTTTAGGTAAACTAATTTAATCTGATATCCTAACCTAATAAATAGTGTTGTTAAAAATGCTGATTTAGGACGATTCAGAAAAAAAAGACCCATCAAATATTAAATATCCTATAAGTTAATATTTGAAATTTTTTCTCATTTCTTTTAATATTTTATGTGTAAATTGTTTTTGATTATATTTCCTGAATTTAGTAGATATCAAATAAGCAAAAAAAAAAGAATTTATAAATATAAATAAGAGTAACCTGCAAAGATACGAATTAAAAGGTTTTATTTTTATGGGTTTTAAATTTTCAGGCCAGTTTTGGTCCTTAATTTCTATATTTTCATTTATCAACTTGGCACCAATGATATCATTGCTTGGCACTTAGCGTTTTTTTTCAGTTAATATGTCAGTTAATATCTAATGACATTAAATTATTTATATTCTAAATCAAAGATTAGTTAACTTTTAATAGGACAGAAAAAATAGTGAAAAACTAGATATATATAAATTTTATTTTATATGATTTGTTTATTATTTTTTATCAAGCTAAAACATAAGCATAGCCAAACAGGGTGGAGGGAGGTGCAAGTGCCCCCTCCCCCATTCCCTTCAAAGTATCAATCAGAATTCTTATATAAAATTATTCTTCGTTGTCCGCGGAAAGAATACCCATGTCAAATTGGATAACGAATAATTTTTTATCTAAGTGAAATAATGATCATATATTGACTCAAAATCGACATTTATCTTATACAATATAAATAATAAATAATCTCTAAAATAAAAAAAATAGGACTCATCCTGAGTCTTAAAAATTATACAATTTAAAGTCAAATGCTCCGTTGTTACACGGCCAAATAATTACGCGTAAATTAAATTATAATAAAAATAAAATATATATGCAACAAAATAAAGAAAAAAACACCAAATATGACAATTTTATTTACTTGCTAATAAGGATGGGTTTTTGTGGGTCACAATATTTATCGAAATTATTTATTTTTGGAACTTTCACTATTAGTTGGATTGATTTGTAGGATGAGACAGAGAAGATATCTCCCTAGTATTTCTTTATCTAAGCTGATTTGAAAGAAGAAAATATACCATAAAATTGTAACATCTCCCATCTATTTGGAAATTATACTTAAATAATATTCATCTTGTTAATTATCTAAGTAAAAATTAATAATTGGCTATCCTTTCGTCAGATCCGATCGTTTTTATATTCGTAGTATCATCAGTTATTCGCATAGAAAAAGAAAATGAGGAAAGAATGCAGTGTCTACATGGCATGCGTAGGTAGGAGACAAATGTCTCCAAAATATATTGGAATTTTGGGGGTAGGTATAGATTTTTGGGGGTAGATATTTTTTTTAGGGGGTATGCTCTAATTTTTGGGAGTATGTTTTGATTTTTGAGGGGTAGTTTTTGACTTGAATTATAATCTTTTTAAATTCAATAATAACAGAAATTAAAAAACTATAAACTTTTTTTACAATAATATTTTACAATTTTACACGTAAAATAATTCTTATTTGTTAATTTTCTAAAAGTATGGAGGTTAATCGATTAATTTTAATAATAAATTTTAGTAAGAATATAATACATTTAAAATTTTAACAAAATACTTTAAATATCTATATTATAATTTTCCGATGTCCTCACTACGTCATCGCTACGTTATGTCATCGCTACGTTATGTCATCGCTACGTTATGTCATCGCTACGTTATGTCATCGCTACGTTATGTCATCGCTACGTTATGTCATCGCTACGTCATGTCATCGGTACGTATTTATTTTTATTTTTTTATTTGTTGATTTTATTTATTTGTTGATTTTATTTATTTATTTTATACAAACAGATAAATGGAATTTCGAGAATTGATGGTGTACACACACCTAACATGGATTGAGAAAAATCTTCTTTGAATTGATATAAACAATATTCCCTCAACTTTCTAAATATGAATGAAGATGTTAATAAAAAGATTCAGGCTAATATTTCACTTAATCCTTTCTTTATTTTTTAGATTACCTTATCAATTTTCATCTCATATTATCAATTACACATTAATGAAATCTCTACAAGTTACTCAACTTGTATATTTATTTTGAACATACTCACAATTTTTGTCAGTACTTACATTACAATTTTTTATACTCATATTTTTATTTCATAACCAATAATTAAGAAGATAATCAAGTATAATCAAGTATATTCAAATATTTAAATATTCTTATCCTAACTTATTTATAATCTCCAATCCTTATAAATAACTCTTTCTTTATTTTTTTCCCCTCTCTTAATGAATTTATTTATCACTAAATTTTATTATCTCATTCTTTTCCTTCTATCTCTATTATCTATAAACCACTATTTCTCAAAACCTTATCAATTCCTTTAATTTAATTTTATTTAATATAATAATTTATACCTTCTTTTTTCCCCCCTTTTTTAATTACCTTACAATTAATTAACCTTAATCTTAATAACATTACATATATCATGTTATTTTTTTAACTTTTAGAATATCATTAAGTCCCCCAAAAATTTTTTTTGATGATAGCCCTCAAACTACTAGAAATATGCATGTAATATTGACCCATCTACCGGTTTTACATTATTTTAATGTTTGTTTTATTTCAACAATAGTTTATTTATATTTTACCTGATTTCTTTATTTGTCTAGGCTAACCCTAATCCCTCACATTGCTACAAAACATGATGAATCTATTATTAAAAATAAGCAAAGAAAATAATGACGATTAAACAAACGCCTTACCCGTTCTAGAGTTACTAGTAGACAAAATAATAAAGAACTACGCTTGAAATGAACTCAGATGGAGGTTTATTTTGTTTTTTTTATCTTATGTTTTATATCTATGTTTATTTTATTTTCACCCAGTTCTCCAAATGATATTTCTATCACCACTACCACAATCAGGGTTGCCAGGTCAAAATTTTCAAATTGCGGGAGAAATTTGGTATTATGCGGGAGAAATATGAAAATTGCGGTAGAAATATAAAAATTGCTAAAAAAAATTTTTGCGGGTCGGCCTGGATTTTGAATTGACTTAATTATCCGTCTATTATTTTTAATAATTAGTTTATATAAATACAAAGTCGTATTTTTCAAAATAAAATAACATCTTGATTTATTAAAATATAATAATTTATAAAAAAAACCAACGATCTTTTTTAAATATAAAAGAATGTAAACAAGATAAAATTTTATTAAAAAAAACGATTTTAATTCTACAATTAAAAATATTTTTTATGTGAATGTCCCGCAAAACCACCGCAATTGGATATCTACCGTGTGTGTGTATAATTATAGGGATAGGCGCTTAATTATCATATTAGTTTAAATACATAATAAGGTACTCCAAAAATAAGAAATAATATAGATGCAACTACAGTTGCGGCAATTGTAATCACTTATCTTGTAGTACAACATTCGCAGAGATACTTATCATCACAAAGTTGGTAGAATCTTTTTCCCATAATATTTAACGACTCTAATATAAATGAAAACTATACCTATGGAACAAAAATGAGCAAGGCCATCATCAATGTTTTAAAATCCAGGAGGTCAATTCTTGACGATTTGAAAGATGGGCATACATATGCAATTCTAACAGATGCATAGTGATCTGCATCGTGCCTAATTTTTTAAGCCCGGCCCGGCCCAAATTTTTTTTAAAAAAGTTTTCCCGGCCCGGCCTGATGAACCCGAATTTTTTTTATTCATCCCAAAGTAAAAATTATATGTCCGCCCGATAGAAATTAATTTTTTTTAGCTTTTAGTTTATTTTTTATATTTAACATTTTGTATTTTCTTAGTAACAGACAATTTATTTAGTATTTAATTATTTATTTAAAATACTATCAAAAATGCCTATAAACCAAGCAAATAATAATTAAAATGTTAAATTACACAACTATATATTAGATTCATATTTATAATTATCATTTAAAAATATGAAAGCATCAACATTTTCAGGTTTCAGTCTATTTCTTCTTTCTTTTAATAGCCTTCCAGTCTTTGAAAAAGTTCTCTCTGACGTTGTGGACGTTGCAGGAATGGCTAAAATTTTTCCAGCCAATTTCGTCATCTTTGGTAATCTAATTTCATTTTTGCTCCACCATTTTAATATATCTTTTTCTGGATCTATATTTTCTTTATTCTCTTTTATATTCAAATTCTTATAAATTTCAAGCTCATCTGTTTCTTTTTTTTCAAATTCTTCCTCATTGTCCTCCCATCTTTCATATTCATTGTCTGATATATAAAAATAAGATAAATAGAACAATTTTAAATGTACCTTTAGATCTTTTAGGAGATTCCATAATTTGAGAAACGCCTTGTATATCCAAATCTATAATATCAATTGAAGGTTTACAATATTCTTCAGAATTAATTATATTTTTGACTGAACTTTCTACTTCTAATATTTCCATTGATGATAACATTCTTAATTCTCTATATTTGGGGCATAAAAATGTCACTATTTTATGCAAAATATCGATTTTAAATTTAGATAATAAAAATTTTTTTAAAATGGTTTTTATTTGTTTTATTTCATTGTTTTGAAAAGTATCATTTATATCCTCGTGAAGAATATTATTAAAGCATAGCAGTACTTTATATAAAGTGGGATTAATATCTCCTTCTAGTTCTTTAGTAGCTTTATCAAAAGGATGTAAAATATCAATCAAATTTTTAAAAATAGATTTCTCCAAGTTTTCCATTTTATTAATATCTCCCTTGGATGTTAAAAATTGACGATGTCATCATATTGGTTATAAATAGATTTCAACATATATAATTTCGAATTCCATCTTGTTTCGATATCTTTTTGTAATGTTTTGTCTAAATATTGATTCATGCTGCTTTGTTTAAAATACATGGTTAATTTTTTAGCAGAAATAAGGGTTTGATATATTGAAAAGAATAAGGACACTAACGATATGGCGCGAGGTGCGAGTCAGTAAAAATATATTTTATTAACTAACTTCTTTTTCTTTTCTTAAGGTATATATACATTTTCTAAAATATAAATTAGAATATATATAAATACAAAAAGTAAGGTTACGAAAAATAATAAGTAATATAAGTTGAATTACAAAAATAAAAAGTTGAATTGAAAAGATAAATTTGAATTCATAAAAAGTAATACAAGTTGAATTTGAATTCCTAACAAAATAAAAATATAATGAATATATGCTATATAAATTAAAATATATTACTATTCAATAATCAATATTTTAATTTATTAATTTCTATAATATAACATATATATTAGGAGCGATAATTTTCAAAGATTGTTCCTTAAAGGTATTTCGAATAACTGTATTTAACAGATGTGCGCTGCAATTTTTTTCTAGGGCTTTAATTATATTAGCTCCTTGATCAGATATAAATATTATATTTTTCACTTGATCGGGAATTATTCCAATTGCAGCAAAATTTTGTAGCATTTCCTTATGTATGTTCGCGGCGGTTTTTTTCTCTTCTTTAAACTTACTCATAAATAAAACATGTTTATATAAGGTTTCACCTTCGATATAATGAATTGAAACAGTTAAATAGGAAAACTTTTTAAAGGAATCTGTCTACATATCAGTGGTGGCAGAGCACTTTTTATCAAATAATTGAACATTTATTTTATTAACCAAATTTGTTCTAATTTGATCGGTCATAACTATAGCATTTCTCGTTAAAGTAGTTGGATGGGGAATAATTTCGCTACAGTCAATATTACCGTAAATGGAGCCAATTTGAATAAAATTTTGAGCCATTTTTATAAAGCCATCTCCAGAAAGGCACGCATGTCCTTGGCGCAATAATAGATCATGGTATCACATATTTTCTTTTTAATAGTTAAGGAAGAATTTATATCTATGGTTTTCTTTTGAATATATCTAGTTATTTTAGGAATAGAGGAATCGTCATTCTTAACGCACTTGTGACGTCTTAAATGAGAATTTCCAGATGTACTTTTATTTTGTAATATATTATTACATTTTTGGCATTGGACATAATCAAGTTTTTAGTTTTTATCATCAAATATGTCTTCAAAATTTTCCCATGTATTGCTTTTACCTAAATGGGGCTTATAAATATATGTTCCATTTTTTTATATGATTTTTTAAAAAAATAAAATCCATTTTTAAATTATAGTTAAATTTTATAAAAAATATTACAATTTAAGTTTTATAAAAAAAATTACAATTTAATTTTTATAAAATAAAATTTTTTAATTTATTATACCCAAAATAAAAAATATATGACATGACATATGGTGCCTAGTTTTTAACTAAATAAAATTAAATATTTTTATTTTACAAATAAAAATTGTTGCCGCCTTGTTTCTTAGAAAAAATTTCAAAAGTTTAATTATATATTTATTTTAGATACATAAAAAATTGGACCCAATTTATTAATTATATTTTAAAAATTTTTTCAAGGCCCGGTGTAGGATTGTGAAATCAATACCCATTGTAGTTTCAATACCGTATTGATATTATCATTGTAGATTCAATACCGTAGTGATATTTTAGTATTGTAGAATCAATACCGTATTGATTTTTAAGGATGTTTTCATCGCTTCAAATATATCGGCGGCCATTAAAATTGTAAAATATCTATTCATTATATATTTTACATCGTTTCAAATATATTGGGGGCCATTAAAATTTTAAAATATTTATTATTATATATTTATTCATCGCTTCAAATATATTGGGGGCCATTAAAAATTTAAAATAAATATTATTATATATTTATTCATCGCTTCAAATATATTGGCGGCCATTAAAATTATAAAATATTTTTTATTATGTATACTCTTCATCGGATATGTCAATATTTAAAAAATGAGACTCAGATTAAATCGTAGCATTTAATTTTTTAAAAAATATTATGATCAATGGATTCAAAATAGCATGGCTTTAGAAAATAATAATATGATAAAAACATGCTTGCTATGAATATTTGAAAATCAACATGAAAAAATCAAAATGGACGGAAAAATAAATGATTATTCGAAAATTTGTCAAACATACACATGAATTATATGAATAAAATTCAAGAGTATAAGAAAGAAGATATACACTCATTATGCAGAAACATGCTCAAGCTGAAAATATTCTCAGATAAAATATGAAGATAAATGGAATTGGAGAAAAAACGTAAAATTTTGGAGAATCGATAATACGTTTAATGGACTTTACTTAATTTGAAATGAAATAATTCATATGGTTACATGAGAAGTAGTTTGATAAATGGATATTGAAAATGGTAGTGATTGGAGAAATCGTATATACCACTCAGAATTATAACCTAAACTTTTTGTTGTGAAAATACAATGATTGTTGTCTCAAAGCACAAGTATCAATTTTTATTTTATATTTTGATATGTTTTAGCAGCTGTGGATTATATATGATGGAATTTCACCGCGTACTATAAAAGTACCCAGGTTACTTCTTCCAGATATATATTTTACATATATACTTTACTCAATATTTCTATAAAACCTTATTCCTAGCACATAAGATAAAAATGAGAACTAAGTTCCTTAAATTCTTTAAACCAATTCTCTTAATTATAATCAATTTAAGTATAGACCCAATCTCTTATATAATCAAATTTAATATAGTCTTAAATCCTTTAAGACCTTAATTTCTAATACAATCAAATACAAGTAATTTTAGCATAAAATATATTTTTAAGACTAATTTAACTAATTTATTCACCATCTCACTTTCTGTTTAATCTCCCCTCCTCCATTTTATTTTATTTATTTTAAATCTCCCCTCCATATCCTCCATTTTAATTCAGAATTCCAACTTATTTTCTATTTATTCATATGCATACTCAATCTCTTATATAATCAAATTTAATATAGTCTTAAATCCTTTAAGACCTTAATTTCTAATACAATCAAATACAAGTAACTTTAGCATAAAATATATTTTTAAGACTAATTTAACTAATTTATTCACCATCTCACTTTCTGTTTAATCTCCCCTCCTCCATTTTATTTTATTTATTTTAAATCTCCCCTCCATATCCTCCATTTTAATTCAGAACTCCAACTTATTTTCCATTTATTCATATGCATACTCAATCTCTTATATAATCAAATTTAATATAGTCTTAAATCCTTTAAGACCTTAATTTCTAATACAATCAAATACAATTAATTTAAACATAGAATATATTTTAAGACTAATTTATCCACCATCTTACTTTCTGTTTAATCCCCCCTCCTCCATTTTATTTTATTTTATTTATTTTTAAATCTCCCCCTCCATATCCTCCATCTTAGATCCCATATAATTTCGCCGAGTCCCTTTTATTATTATTTATTTATGTTTATTTTTGTTTGTTTTCTTTTCCTTATATTTCCAACATAACTTTACTTTAATTTAATTTATAAATTCTAGAAATTTGAATACAATAAATAAACAACATGCAAATTACAAAATTATTATGATCTCCATGTTTTCCTATTTTAATTATTTTATTTAATTTTCTGTAATAAATAAGATATCGAAACGGAAATAACTAGAATAGTTCTACATAATTATTTTCTTTTCACCCATTTATATTTAAGAAATTTTCTGCCATATTTAAAACTATTTTAAATTATTTTAAATTTACCCAATCACTCGGATCCCAGTAAACACTCCGGACTAAAGGTTATTATTTCGCTTATTTATCTTCTCTTCATAATTTTTTTTCCTTTTTGTCGCTTTCACCCAAATTTATCTTATAAAAGATTTAATTTTCTTAAAATATATAGTTTTCTAACTATATTTAGTCCTTCACGTAACTCTTTAGCTCAAGCAAAATACAAGTTCAGAAAAATTTCTTTACCAAACCTTACATCATGAATCTTAACTCCTCCGTTAAAACTATGCTAAACGGGTCTCTTTTCTTGTCCTCCTTAAATATTAATGGCATCAAATATAAAATGTCAATTCTTATGACGCTATTATCAAATGACTCTACCGACATAATAGGATTATAGGAAACCCACTCCCCCGACAACCATTCGGCCCAATTTACAAATTATATATACTATAGCTCTGGAACCACGAACAATAAATGGTCAGGTGTGGCCTTCCTTATCAAAAATAAGCTCAAAAAATACATTATAAAATTTGTCCCTATAACCGAAAGAATTGCTGTACTATACCTGAACACCGCCTACAAACCCACCATCCTCCTCAATGTTTACGTCCCCCCTAAACTCACAGAAAGAATGTTATTCCTAGAACATCTAGATAACGTGATAAGCTCGCTACCAAAAAGATACAATATCATAGCTATGGGAGACTTCAATACTAAGATAGGCCACGACATAACATACAAAGTAAGCAATACTATAGGCCACACAACAGTATATAACAGCAACGATAAAGATGGAAAAAAACTACTCCAAATATGTTTTGATAACAACCTAAAAATTGAAAACACGTTCTTCAAACATAAACCTCCTCACCTCATGACCTTCTCAAGGGGCGGCCACTCCTCCCAAATTGATTTCTTCCTATCCAATATCCATAGCTGGTTTGCAGATGTAAAGGCTATCCTAAACATAAATATATCAGATCACAAACTGATCAAAGCACATATAATAATACGTAGTGATGAATGGAGAAACAATAATACCAGGCGCATCCATAGCACAATACGTACAACGCCAGAACAACCTACCAAATGGCACTTCACTAATATTAACAAAACAACCTATAATGAAACAATATGCTCAGGCCTAGCTAGGATTATTCAGCTCTTCCCTACCAAACCATTAGAAGAATGTTGGTCAGACTTCAAAAGCGCGATTTTCCATGCATATAATAATCTCAACCACAGCCAAATACCAAAAAGAGAATGGCTCTCAGCAAATACAAAAAACTTAATCCTATCGATAAAAAATGATAGAAGCCGCAATTTAGAACTATGGAAACGCATTTAGAGATTACTACGTAGCGATCGTAGGATTTTCCTAGCAAAGAAAGCTGAAGAAATAGAAATAGATATGAGGGACAACAAAACTCATGACGCCTACAAAAAGCTCAAACACTTCTGCAAACCAGCATGCTTTAAGAAATTACCAATACTTACTTTACAAGGAGGTAACAAATATACAGACCCTCAGGAGCAAATGGCCATCTGGACAGACTTCTATATGTCAGCCTTTGAGTCCAGGATCCCTTCCAAGATAGTGAGCCCCCAACGGACAATCTTGCCATTATGCCACTCTGATTTCTCCCAGAGCCATAAACAAACTAAAAAACAATAGAGCCCCTGGCTCTGATGGGATCAGGAATGAACACATGAAAGCCGCTCCAGAGAGCATTTCCAAATATCTATTAGCCATATTCACCAAAATATGGCATTCAGGCAAAACCCCAGATGATTGGAATAAATCCACAATCTGCAACTTCCCCAAGAAACTTCATCCTTCATCTTTCGCAGACTACAGGGCCATTGCTCTCACCTCCACAGTCTCAAAGGTGTTCATGGTGCTCCTGAAGAACAGAATTCTTGATTCTACCAAAAACCTCCTTTCAAGTAATATTTGCGCATACAGACCAAATAAGAACATCAATGAACCCATCCTAGCTCTTAAAATCTATCTACAGAAGTGTTTTAGATATAAACTTCCTCTTATATTTACTTTCATAGACTACAACAAAGCCTTCGACAACGTGAAACACAATGCCCTCTGGGAGACTCTAGAAGATTGCAATATCGATCCAAACATAATTAAAATTTTGAAGTACCATTACAATAACTCTTGGGCCAAATTACAGCTAGGCCAAACTTTCTCACCTTACTTCAAGATTAAAAGAGGGGTAAAACAAGGCTGTGTACTATCACCTATTTTGTTCAATATAATCATAAACCAAATTTTAAAGGAAACCACGAGCACCATGAACCTAGTAGATATATCATCAAACAATAATAATATCAATCACCTAAGAATCATCTCATACGCAGATGATCTAGTTTTAATCACCAAATCAAGAGATGAGACAATAGACTTACTAACAAGTCTATGCTTTCATAGCAACAAAGTAGGTTTAACCATAAACTTTAATAAAACTTTTATTATGCCATCCCCAGAGGCGTCTATAAATAACTTAACATTTGAGGGAAATGAAATTAAAATAGTTAACAATTTTAAATATCTTGGCGTACTTATCGATAATAAAGGAAATATCAGCGGTGAAATCGAAGCCCGACTAAAAAACGCCAAAATAACCTCTATGAAATATTACAAACTATGGACAGCAAGAGAGATCTCAGTCAAAACGAGGCTCCGAATTTTTAACGCCACAGTCATTCCAGTCCTCCTCTACGGCAGCGACACTTGGGAAATAAATAAATCTCAGACAAAGAAAATACAAGTTTTCGTAAACCGCTGTCTGCGCCAGCTCAACGGTATTTTCTATCCAAGAATAATTTCGAATGCCAGCCTATGGCGAATCTCAAAAAATGTCCCGATCGAGACTACTCTCAAAAAAAGGCACATTCAACTTTTTGGTCACACCATCAGAAACTTCAGACAAAACATAGTCCATGAAGCTATAATCTGGCTCGAGTCTCATGAAGGTAAAACATACGGTAAATACAAGTCATATTGGCTATACAGAACGATAAAAGCATAAGCCTAAATCTGACGATGGAACAATTCATACGTCTAAACAATAATAAAAGCTCAATAAAAAAGCTTCTAAAAATCAAATCGGGCTACCTGCTCCCTCCAAATCTCTTAGCCCCCCCCCCCCAGCAACATAAGCACCACTTTCCTCCCGCCATGGTAAACATACATTTATCTATTTGTTTATAAAACTCTTCATGTACCTAACCTTGATATAATTATCCAAAATATACTTAACTCACTAATCTAATATTCTTAAATAGTAAGGCAGATTTATTTAAAAAATATATCATATTTATATTAAATAAACAAATTCAATATAGACCATAAACTTAAAATTTACCAATACCCCTCCCTATAATTTACATTTTACTTAATCGGGTACGGGCTTTTCTCTCTCTTCTTATTTCCCGTAGGCGTTTAAGCAAGTGGTTTCGCCTCTTGCGCGCACAGGTAACTGCAGCCTGCCCAAGAACTGTGGATGGGCTCATCTCATAGGTTACCCCCAAATTTCTTAACCCAATTAGATGGGATGAGATAGTCCAAGCGTAGCTCTGCTGTTTCATATAGCGATAAAGGGTAATTGCGCTTATTATGACGTATGACGTATTCTTCATCGCTTCAAATATAATGGCGGCCATTAAAATTATAAAATATTTTTTATTATATATATTTTTCATCGCTTCAAAAATATTGGCGGCCATTTTCGATTTGTAAAAATTTATTTAAAATAGATTTAAATGATTATATAAATGATTTTCTATTCTTTTATATAATTTTTTAAGGGAGTTTATTTATTTTACAATTCTTAATATCCTATATTAATTTTATTTGTTTAATATATACAAGTTTTCTTCATACCTCATATTATTGAAATCTCAAGCTTTAAAATTTTAATAGACAAAAGTAAGCTAATCACAAACAAATAAGGGTTTCTATTACGTCAAAGGATCTCAATCACTCACTCTGATTAATCGTTTCCTCTTGGCTTCTTAAAATCGTCATTTTATTTATTAGATGTATATATAATTATTGCAGAAAATTTTAAATAAATAAAATGTATACAAATTTTCTTCATACATCGTATTATTGGAATCTCAAGCCTTAAAATTTTAATAGACAAAAGTAAGCAAATCACAAACAAATAAGGTTTTCTATTATGTCAAAGCATCTCAATCACTATCTATTACTCTGATTAATCATTTCCTCTTGGCCTCTTAAAATGGTCATTTTATTTATTAGATGTATATATAATTATATTTTTAGCTTATTAAAATTTAACACTTATATTTATGGAATACAAAATTTTTTATACAGATATAAAATTAGGTTTAAAATCAAATCTTAATGTTTAAATTATTCTTTTAAACTGAAACAACTATTTTTGTTTGTATATATATATTTTATTACAATAATATTAAAACTGGCTGATTTCTTAATACTTTAAATAAAAAGGATATTGTTACATTATAGGAACTAATAAATTAAAATATTGGTTATTGAATAGTAATATATTTTAATTTATATAGCATACATTCATTATATTTCTATTTTGTTAGGAATACAAATTGCCCTATATATCACGTAAATTCAACTTGTATTACTTTTTATGAATTCAAATTTATCTTTTCAATTCAACTTTTTATTTTTGTAATTCAACTTATATTACTTATTATTTTTCGTAACCTTACTTTTTGTTTTTATATATATTCTAATTTATATTTATAGAAAATATATATATACCTTAAAAAAAGAGAAAGAAGTTAGTTAATAAAATATATTTTTACGACTCGCACCTCGCGCCATATCATTAGTGTCCTTATTCTTTTCAGATATACATAATTTTATTTCAAAAAAACAAGAAAAATATTATAAAAAGAAAATATATCCCAAAAAAGGAAACATAATTATCACAAAAAATTGAGTGTATATTACACTATAATACGATTAAAATGATCTGATGATGCATTTATTAAATATATATTTAAATTAAAATTTTTTATACAGTCCATTTTTGATAATGCAGAATATGTAATATATTTCATTTCCATTTTTACAATAAATAATAATTGGCGTCTGGAAAAACGTAGCAGATGCTACGATATCTAATTCATACGCCCACGTTCCAAGTTGATGTTTTTTTGTATCCACCAAATGTTTTATTATGTCCTTCCCCATAAAATCAGTAAAAATATCATTATTCCAACAGCATCATATAAGAGATTATAGATCCCCTTATAATTGCATGGTGATCCTCGCTGCCTGTGATCTCTTTGCTCAAGCAGCGATTCGGACATTTTTCCACCCTTTCTATCCGCACGTCGTGAGTTCCAGATCAGTTCAGGACCTGTTGCCCGACTTCATTAGGGATTTTATCCTTTTGCCTTTTTTGATAATCCCTTTTTTGTCTATCTTGGGCAACAAGTATATTTTCTTTTGCCCTTTTCCATACGACTGATAGGCTCATTATTCTTTCTAATAATTCACTCTCTTCAAAGTCATTCTCAATATTATTAATGATTTCCTTAACAATATCTGGCTCAATTTTCGAATTTCTGATGGCAGCTTTGCGTTCCGACCATACATCATATAAAATGGGGTAAATCCTGTAGATTTGTGGACACTGGTTTGCATTGCAAATAATACCCCGGAAGAACCCTAGGCCATAACCTTTAACATTAAGTTTTGAATAGTACGATTGTTCCTTTCTGTCAACCCATTAGCTTGAGGATGATATGCACTGCAAATGCGTTGCTCCGTTCCTGTCATTTTATGTAATCTCGTGGCAATTTCATTCACAAACTCTCTTGATCATTGATTTGTATCTATATTGTATAAAATCAAAAGTTTATAAATTTTCATAAATGCACATTTTTTAACCGATATATATTTATATAATTTAATTTACAGTTGCGCAGCCATGGCGGCAAATCAGACCATAAATAAATTTACAAGTCTCTTCAGCTGTCTTTGATTTCATAGGTTCTGCCTCAACCCATTTTGTGAAATAATCAGAGGCAACTGCAATACATGTGTAGCCTTCTTCTGAAGTGGGCAGGCTGCAAAGATCAATTCCTATTTGAGCCCATGGAAGAGGTGGTACATCTATTGGATTCAAAGTAGAAGAAATTTTAGAAAATCTTGTATTGGCTTTCTGACATCTATCACATGATTTTATAAAATCAATAGTGTCTTGAAATAATTTTGGCCACCAATATCTATAAACACAAAATTAACACCATAATAAATACCTTTAAGAGAGTTTAAGTTGAGTTTTATTAATGCCTAGGTGGGCACCAATAGCTTTA